GACAGCGGATAGGAAAATAAAATAATATAGGTAGGAAACGCAGCCTAAAAAGCTGTTGTCGGCCGGAAATCGAGATATATTTCCATACATTTTTAAAAATCGGGACATTTGGTATTCAATTCGTGAATCGGGACGATTCGGAAATATCTCTTAAAATCGGAACTGTCTCGCCTAAACTGGGACGTCTGGCAACCCTGATTAAAGCCTAATTACATCAAAATCGAATTGAAATTAAAAAAACGACCAGTAGGCAACATTCCAGTAGTACACGGTACTCAAATATGAATGATATAGTACTATAAGGAATTTAATTTAGTGGTACTTTTGTTATCAATTTAAGGGTACTACTTTATCAAACTATTTCTTTTGTGTTTGGTTTTAATTGAATTATAATGTCCTACATTGTTTCGGTCTTTGTCTAACTCGTGCTTTTGATGTTTTTGCAATGTATACTACTTTATTGTTGTCTTTGTCTTACTTATTTATACTCGATAAGTAGGCCTCGTAATATGTTATTTTCATTGGAATTTAATTAAAAACAAGTTTCCAAAGGAATTTATTGTTTTATAATCGTTATTAATTATTTATTTGACAAGTTTTAATTAAATTTAATTATTTAATGCGTCATCGATGTCATGTGGCAACGTCGCTTTTAGTCGGCTATTTTGCAGTGACGTGTTAACGTTTTTGTCCAGTTTTTTTCTTAGATTTTCCACTTTTTCAAAGCCTTTTCAGTCGGGAAAACTGGTGAAAGTACGAGGCTTTAGATTTTCTTCATTTTCCAACAAAAAACAACTTTTTAGGGAGTTTCTAGTTTTAAAAATCAGCTTTTTCACTAAAATACGATTTTTCTTTTTCGGGTTCCGATCAAGTCGGTCTTGGAATGTTATTTTCAAAGCCCTGACAATGACATTTGACAGTCGGCCATTATGAGGGATTTTTTAACAAAAATTTTTATATGAAAACAAATTTTCCAAGGAAATTTATTATTTTTAGGGAATTTTTGCTTAATTTGAGGTTGTTTTTTTCATTTTTTGAAATTATTTTCATCATTTGACAATGCCGCTTTCCAATTCTTGATTGGCTTTAAAATTCAAATTGTAATTATTCCCGGCTCTTGATTGGTTTTCAGATTCATTTATTAAACCATTCAAAAGATGGGGATTTCCAAAAATTTTATTATATCATGTGGCAACACCGCTAGCTCAATCGAGTAGGCCTTGGAATGTCATCAGTATTATTTACGTCAATTTTAAATTGAAATCGAAGTCGATAAAACAGAACTCTGCAATATTTTCGTAACTTTAAGGCCTGACAACATTGGGCTGGTAATACAGAATTTGTTAATAACTTTGTTAGCAAGGCTTTCCAAATGTTGAGATTCAATCTCTCAGTCTGGTTGAGCACAAGTTCTTAATACAAGTGGCATATAAATTAAATATCCTAAATCATTATACGGACTCTGAAACGCTAACTTTGCTCAATATGTCACCAATTGTATCGCGTCACAATAACAATAGATCTCCAAATTTTTTATAATTTATTACATAGTAGAGCCGCAGCTCCAGAGTTGCTCTACAAGGTTGAATATACGTCAAAAATGATACATACACCCCCTCACGCCAAAATACCAGATGTGACGTAAAACCAATCGATTTTAATCTGATACTCGAAGGGAATATGAACTGCTGTGGGATTCTCGGGGTCGATAGGTTGCGACTACAAGTTGAGGATCGGGAAGCTGGTGGCTACTATACATAAGAACGCCAATGGTCATCTGATGTCATATCTGTTTTTGCCATATACTTCACCCAGCATGTTATTTTTCGCCTTGACGTAGGCTGTTTAAACAGATGACGACTTAGTTATGACGTCAGCAATGGTGGCACACCAATATGGCGATTATTACCAAAAGCGAGGCCGATAAGCATTCCTTAGAATGTGTATTCTCCTTGGATATACGTGTCCCTTTTATAGCCACCAGATCTACAGACAACTTCCACTTCCCAATTTACCAAACCAATCATGGCCCGAATACATTTATTCCCAGAACTGCAAGATTGGCCAATCACATAAATAGATTTTTGTGCATCTTTTTTCCTGCATCAGATCCATGGCTGTGTAAGACTGTAATGTAAATAAGTGACTATTCGATATCCTGTTTGTATTCACAACAATGATGCCAACTCGTGGAAAATTTCCCTTAATTTTCGTGGGAATTTTTGGATGAATATATTTGAAATGGGAAAAAGGGAAAAAAATTAATAATACATGTTTTCATGAGAAAATTTGTTAACTCAAGGGAATAAAATTAAAATATATACGTTTTTATGAAAAATTTTTAGTATTTTTGGGAATAAAACTAAAAAATAAACATTTTCATGAAAATTGTCAGTTTCTCGCCAGCATTGTCATGTTTAAAGTTCCCAAAAATCATCTTATCCTTGCCTTGTCAACATAATCAAGAGTCAACGGCCGAACTGTCAATATTAATTATTTATTTATTTATCATTAATTCTTTGACATTCTGTCTCTATGGTATTTGAACCAATAACATTTAGCGTTCTGCTACGAGATGGCTCCATATTCAGGCTGTAAGTACAGTGGCTAAATAAACCTTTACATACAGTGGCGACAATAGAGGTCCCGCCGCCATCTTGTTCCCAACCTCTTATTACTTTTAAATATTAGTAGGTAGGGGTCTATATAGGATTTAAATGGACATCTATCATAACAAATTGAAATCGACGTATTTGATGACCAGTATTAGGTTCATCAAATATGTTGCTTTTCATGATTTATGATGGATGTTCACCTAAATCCCATATATTCATATTTAAAAGTAACAAGAGGTTGGGAACAAAATGGCGGCGTTTTCAATATAAATACATGGGATTTTAGAACCAATCAAAAATAAGACAGCAATTGTCGCCATTGTGGGTAATAGAGTCACTGTAGCTGTAAGTAGCTGTAAGCTTCCACAGCCACAGCTCCTGTTCCAACCGACATGAGAACCGTTCTAAAACGGTTATTTCTAGTTGCCCACCTATTTTTTAAAAAGTTGAACTTTTATCCTAATTAACAAATGAATTGATCGACTGAAAATAAGCTGATAAGCTTTGTTCCAACACAGCAGGAAACCGTACTATGTATCTCACGATTCTGCGCAAAGCTTAAAATTTGTACGTAGAATCGATCGACCGCCATTTTGACAAAATGGCGGAAATTCCCTTAAGCAACCAGGGCTGGAACTTTGTAACGAATAGAGATCGTTTTCCCTATCGTTATGACACTTGATATCTTTTTCTCTCTTATCGAAATCAACAGAGAGGAAACGTCAATAAAAATAGAGAAAATATCGCTATTTGTTATACAGAGTCCCAGCCCAGACTACTTGAACAGTTCAGCAGTATATGTTGGTAAATAGATGGCTGCGGAACTCGCTGCGCTCGTCCCGCAGAGGTCCACCTATAAATTCCGCAACAATAACACTTATTTGTATTTGAAAAATAACTTATTATATGAAGTCAGAATTTGTAAGATTATCCACTTTTTGTCAACAGAAATTAGTAATGTTACTTTACCAAAGTAGTAATATATTATGACAAATTATTCAAGTACAAATGAGTGAATTGTTGCGGAACTTATGGGTGAACCTCTGCGAAACGAGCGCAGCGAGTTCCGCAGCCATCTATTCACCAATATGTTGTTCAAGTACAATACTACCTGATTCACTCAGTTATGAGTTTTTCTCATTATTTCAAAAACTACACGTTTCAGGTGAGTGTTTTTTTTTTCAACAGCTCAAAACTATCTTGGTGAGTAGATGGCTGAATAGTTCAACAGTATATTGGTAAATAGATAGCTGCGGAACTCGCTGCGCTCGTCCCGCAGAGGTCCACCCATAAGTTCCGCAAAAATCCACTTAGGATGTTTTTCCATATATTGACATTCCACCTGCCTCCGTTACCTTTACAGGTAGAAAAAAGGGGTAAATACAAAAGTTATACAGCTGTATGTAACATCCTCTTTTAACTTAAAAGCGGTTTTTAAAACTGGTCACTTTTAAAAATTTGCATTCTAAACCATGCAAATTTTTAAAGGTACCAGTTTTAAAAAGCGCTTTTAAGTTAAAAGAGGATGTTGCATACAGCTGTTACAGTTTTGGCTTTTTTTATGATGGGGTTTGATGGAAAGGAAATGTGACGCGTAAAAAAAAGTTAGTTTCACGAGGGTTTGTACTTACGTCATCATTTGCCTTTTTTCTGAAAAATAAGTTTTTTCATGTCTGAAATTTCAAACAAACATATATAGTTCCTTGCATGGCATGAAGGTTTTTACTTACGTCATCGATGACGTCATAACTTCTAAATTATGACGTCATCGATGACGTAAGTAAGTACAAAAAATGCAAAAAAAATACATAAAATAATTTGGTTGCACTAATTTTTTATATAAATGTTAGGTAGTGCTATGGTCTGATGCCGAATAGGAGTGCTAATTTTTGCTTTAGGGGTGCTTAGCACCCTCAAGCACCACCCTAGTTACGCCTATGTAGTGCATATTTAACAGGAATATCTCATGTGTCTTAATCTTAATAAAATATTTCTCATAAGTAGTATTGGTATTTGATTTTCTAATGCAAGTTTTCATAGTAGGTACACACTCTAATTATTTACGTAGTTAAAATAATTAATAGCGTATACCCTAATGGTTTACCCCTTCAACAGGGCAACTTATCTGTCTACTGATATTTAGACTAGTAATCTACTAACAAAACAAAATATGACTTGGCAACACTGGAAACGCGTCAGTCTGTTACCAGAATCGGACATGGAAGCACCTCTAAAGATGCTAGCCACAAGCCCGAATGAAAACCCCTTATCAATTGACGTAAACTGTTTAAACAGCTGACAATTTAGTTATGACGTCAGAAATAGTAGCACATCAATATGGCAAAAAAAAAAAATGTGTATCATCCTTAATCTCTAGTTACCTACCTTTCGACGCAGCAAAAGTCACCAAATACTCTACAGTACTTCTAATGTCATCAATATCCTCCTTTACAACAAACGTAATAATTATTTCCAAACTCTTATAAGTCACTTCTAATGTTTTGCTGCACTGATGCGCAATCAACTCTAAAACGATCCGTTTCGATTGTTTAACACCAGCGGGCGCAGGCGTAAAATACAACGACTTAACGTTGCTCGAAATCCGAGGCTCCGGATTATGACCGACCAGTTTTAAATAGTTGAACGAGTCCGTTTCCGAGTAGCTTTTGACGAAAATCGGAACGATTTCCGAAAATTCGCCTGCTTGAATCTCCGAGCTGAATTCTATTGGTAGTTTAACTGTCACTTCTGGGTCTACAATTATTGTAACTGTGTCGTTTTCCGAGCAAAAGTTTTGCTCGATGGAGCAAGGGCAAATGGTGAAGGATTTAATTGAAGAAATTTTCATTGATATCTGAAAATAAATTATATTGGTACGCCTATGGATTATAAGCCCCACCTCCTTTTGTAGAGGGCGGAGCCTAAAAACCAGTGGCAGTGATCTTACTTCTTGACAGCTCCCACTAACATTAGTAAACTGAAACAGATGTTTCTTTTTACCAAAACTGTTAAAATTTAGCACTAGTGATTTAAATTTCAGCAACTCTTTTCTGGCAGCACACAAAATCTTTAAAAATGGTAACTTTTGTGAATCAATTTCCTCTTGTGATGTTTTATATCGATTTTTGTCTTGTTTCAAATAGTAGCTGCTATGTAATGTTTCTGGACAATTAAGCTCTGGCGGTCCTAAGATTCCATTAAGGATATAAGGTAAGTATAGACAATAGGCAACTGGTTCACGCGGTTTGAACTCTAAGAGTAACTCTTTGCGCTCCTTTGGGGCAAGATTAAGCACCTCTGACGTAATATTTAAACCTTGTTTAGTTTTAATAGCAAATTCTGGATATTCTTCCATTGAAAACGTCACTTCAGTGTCAACGTCTGCCTGGTTGCTCACCCTAAACGGCGTATGAACTTTGGAACCCGAAGGAATTTTTGGGATTTTGATCAGTTCAGGCTTAAAACTAACTTCAGGATAAACAACGTTGCCGGTTAAAATAATCTGCTTGGAATACTCGTACTGAAACTTGAGGTTGATCGGTACGTTGTAATTAACCACCTGTCGGGACTTGAGGCTAAACTTGACAACGATGCCATTTTTTTGGAAAATCAACGCTTTCATTGGCTCGATTTGTAATTCCGGCAACGAATCGGGTTCGTCGAGGGAAATGTTCAGTGGCACCAGTTGATCAGAGTTGTTGAAAATTAGTAATTCTTGGGTTGCTGTTGTGTTTAATGGTAAATTATTGAACTCGATGGTTTCCGAGCTCAAGGATATCGAAGCTCGTTTGTGATCGAATTTTGCCTGAAAAATCATCTGTCATTTGTTAATATAGACATATGACAGATTACCTCAACAAGTTCCTTGACACCACTTTCAGAAATCACCGCGATTTCCTTAAAAGGACTAAAACCCACTTCGGGATTAAAGGTAATTGTCACAACCAAGTTCCTTTTGGCAGGAATAAGGCCTTTAGTCGGAAACGATTCCAAATGATAAAAATTTGTATCAATTTCAAACTGCACGTCACTGTTAATGGGATTGTTGAGTTCCAAAAAAGCCGTTTTTTCAGTCGGTATTATCGTTACTGTTTTGTTGACGCACTGCACTGTGTTGGCGACAATTGTAGCTAAGACAGTGACGTCAAACACGTGAAAAAAATTAACAATAATAGACATGGGAATGTGACGTGTGCCACCGTAATCTGAATGATACGAAAAGTCAATTTTTCGCTGCGCGTTTGGTTTAAGGACAAACACTTCTTGGATAACTTTGATTGATGTGTAGACGGCCTTAATTGAAATATGAATATGAAAAGGATTGTCGTTTTCCACGGTGAAATGATTTGAGCATTGTGTGTTTGCTGCCAGCTGAAATTTTAACTTTTAACTTTACTAAACTAAAGGCCAGTTTACACTTATTGTGGTGTGTAATACTAGTTGAATTGTAATTAACAAAATGTAAACTGGCCTTAAATGAATTATTTTTACCCGTCCTAATTGTATAAATTTCGGCGTAACGTTAATTTTATGTATCTGATAGGGCGTTAAGGGTACAAACAAGTTACGCAACGTTGCCTTGTCTTTCAAAATGGCCGGGCAAATTGTCGAATCCTTTCTGAAACGCTCCATCAGGATTTTTTTCGTGTCGGTGACGTCATAGTCGGAAAAATTCTCCTCGGACCTGGCCTGTTCGGGTGTTTTTTTCGATAGGCTTCTTATGTAGTTCAAATAGTAGGATTGTTTGTTGTCTTTGAGCGACTTTTCTTTTGAGGTTAGGTCGTAGTCGACGTCATAATTGGTTACCAGTCTTGGTAGTTGCGTGAAAATTGTTTTGCACCTGGAAATTCGACAACGTTGTTGAATAAGAATAATACACACTACTACACCAGAATTGCTTATCGGCCTCATTTTTGGACCATATTGTGTAGCATCATTGATGACGTCATCAACGACGTCGTCAGTTGCTTGTGCTAACGGTCGTAACTTAAAAACTAGAATAGTCAAGTCAAGAAACGACACGGTGTCTACGTCATCATTGGTTCTTTGGCTTGAGATTTGATCTACAGAAGCCTTATGAAAATAAACTATCCTGCAGTAGTAGTTGGTTATTGCTCTTGGCTAACAACCAAGGATAATACACATTACTACACCAAGATTGCTTATCAGCCTTGTTTTTGGTAATCGCCGCCATATTAGTGTTACCATTTCCGACGTCATAACTAAGTCGTCAGCTGTTTAAACAGCTTACGTCAAGGTGAAAAATAAGATGCTGCCTACGCCACAACTGGTTATTTGGCATGGGGGAAGAGGGGGATTTGTCACATAGAGGCCTTATGAGGATAGGCCATCCTGTAGTAGTAGTGTGTATCCTTAGATCAAAATGACGTTTTTGTTAATTACGAGCCCGAAGGGCGAGAATGTTTTTTAAGCACACAGGGCAACAAAGAAACGCCATTTTGTATCGACTGTTAAAAAAAACAAGGCCTACTTTGAAACGTCAATTTTTTGCCGTTTGCTGTGTCATAAGCAGTGTTGCCATATGTTTTTTTTCAAATCTCAAGACCGGAAGGATGGGATTATTTTAATTACGAGCCCGAAGGGCCGGGGTTATTTTAATCACCAGCCCGCAGGGCCGAAGTTATACGAGCCCGAAGGGACGAAGTTTTACGAGCCCGAAGGGACGAAGTTTTACGAGCCCGAACGGCCGGTATTCATGATTTAAAATGACTCCGGCCCTTCGGGCTCGTAAGAAGACTTCGGCTCTTCAAGTCCGTTATTTATAAAGTTTATACAAACTCCAGCCCTACGGGCTGGTAATTTAAAAAGATCCCGGCCATATAAATTATGTAACATCATTGATGACGTCATCAACTACGTTGTCAGCTGCTTGTGCTAGCGGTCATAGTTTAAAAACTAGAATAGTCAAATCAAGAAACGACACCGTGTATACGTCATCACTGGTTCTTTGGCATGGTGGCTTTAATCTACACAGACCTTATAAGAATAAGCTATATTGAAGTAATAGATGATTGTTAGCCAAGAGCCGAGAAAAGATAAATTTTGCAACATAACACTATTGTCAAAAAAAACCCTATTACTTACGGTACATTATTCCTCCAAGGTCTCAACGATCTCTGTCTGTCATTCGGTAAAGCCATCAGTGCATCATTGTCTTTATCAAACACCAACAATTTCGTATCGACAACAGCACCAAGAGGTTTTTCAATTGGCGTATTGAACCTGACGTCATCAACTAAATAGCCGACTTCGTTGAGGTTTTTTGGGGTAATGCCCGGTAAAAAACTGGCTTTAGTTTTTCTGGACAAAAGTCTTTTTTCGGCGTATTGTCCGGAATAAAAGACGTCAACGGTTTTGGTGATTAGTTTGAATATTTTGTCCTTTTGCCGGTAGAGGACGTCGAAATTGACTTTGGCAAGGACTTGACCCATCTTTGTCGGACGCACTTTAAGCGCGATTTCTACGGATCGGTTGGGTGGAAGTGAAACAGTTGTTGGTTCGCATTCGATGGAAGCAATCTGGGGAAAAAAAAAATTGGTTGTGGCAACACTGCAAAAGTTGAAAATTCTCACCTTGTTGTACTTGACTACTAAAGGTCCGATTTTGGAGTTGTTTGTTACTTGTAGAAATTCCCGGCGATTTTCGTAAATTCCTAGATTTTCCAGACAGAGTTTGTCGGGTTTTATGGTGACGTCAGGCACTTCAATTTCACCGTAGAAGATTATGGTGATCATGTCGTTGTAGACTATAAGCTCTTGCCCAGAAGTGTTTTTCTCGTCCAGACATGTGGAAACGCTGATGTAGTCTAAAGAATTCATAGTCGGGATGACGTTGCACTATTTTTACTTTACAGGTAGTTTCACTTTCATAGCCCTGTCTACGCAAGGATTTAACACACTACACAGGACCCCCCATTGTACCAAAGCACCAGTGATGACGTAGGAAGCGTGTCATTTCTTGCATTGATGTTGCATGTTGCATCCTTCTTTTTGCTCATTTATTATGTTAATCAAAATTAAATCATATTTTTCATCATATATTCGAAACTACGACCACTGGCGCAAACAACTAACGACACCATTGATGACGTCGTACCAGTGCATCAGCATATTATGACTTTGATTCCAAAAATCCAGGCAATCCTGTAGTAGTGTGTAATATCACAAAATAACAAACAATCAAAAGGAACAGGAATTTCAATTCTTAAAAGTAAATTTTGTTGAGTGAATTTGACAATATTGTATCTTTTTATATGTAAAGTTATGAAACACAACCTCATTTTTTTTGTAGTTGTTGATGGCTATGACGTTTAAACACTGCTGCCAACAATATTCTTGAATTTTTCGATTTTAACCAAAAAGTGGACATTTTTCAAGTATTCTTCTGTGTTTTATAATTGAGACTTGGCAACGCTGAAATTCAATAAGTTCCATGTCCTAGTAGGTCATGTCAAATTTAAATAACTTTCTTTCAATTTGCAACACTGACATCAAATATTTTGGCACTGGAAATTTACAATCGGCAACACAATAACTTACATATTATCTTAGTAACAGGATTGCTTATCGGTTTTGTTTTTGGTAATCGCCGCCATATTGGTGTTTCACTATTTCCGACGTCATAACTAAGTCGTCAGCTGTTTAAACAGCCTAGGTTAAGATGAGAAATAACATGCGCCTTACGTCACAACTGGTAATTTGGTTTGGAGGAAAGGGTGGATGTGTTCCGCAAAGGCTTAGAATAGGTTATCTTTTAGTAGTAGTGTGTATCAACCTTGTCTCAGTAGGCCATGTAAAATTTAAATATCGAGCTTTCAGTTGGCGACACTGAAGTTTATATCTTGGTACAAATTATTTAAAATTGCCAACACTGAAAATCTATATTACAAATCCTAGTAGGTCATGTCAAACCAAGGATGATACACTACTCCTATAGGATAGCCTAACCTCATAAAGCTTGTGTGAAACAAATCACTCCTCCCCCGTTGTCAAATCAGTTGTGACGTAGGCAGCATGTTATTTCTCCCCTTGACGTAGGCTGTTAAAACAGGTGACGAATTAGTTATGATGTCGGAAATGGTGACACACCAATATGGCGGCGATGTCAAACATTTTTGAAACCGAAATTTTATAGTTGGTAACATTGAAATTTAGTAACTCACATATCTCAGTAAAATTGCAGCTTAAGTTTCTTTTAGTTGGCGACATTGAAGTTTGACAAGTCAACACTATGGAATTCGACCAAAATGGAGGGTACCATTTTGTATTCATTCTTATGCCCCAAAATTAACACAATTTATCAATTTTCTTCAACATAATGCCATCGTCAAAATATTAAACATGGCGGTATTTTCTTTGACAGTTTATACATTGCTGCCAACACCAATAACGATATTGTTGAAAAAAAATTTCAAGAGCCGGTAATAGGAAAAAAATGAGACAACCAAATAGTGAGCAAGTGCCATTTTCTTATTTCAAAATAATGTCAAGTTAGATCATCCATTGTTCGGTTGGCAACAGTGAAGATTGCTAAAACTCAGAAGGCCATGTAAAACTTCATATTATGTGATCACAATAATCAGAGATGAGACAAAAATTGATGATCCTGAATTGTGAAACTTCAAAATTGACAACCCTGAAAGTTAATATGGTTAATATTTTGATATATATTTAAATTTTATAGTTGGCAACACTAATTCATATTATTATCCAAGTAGGCCATATAAAATTTAGGTCAAATATCTGGTATTCCTTCTGATTGTTTGAATTATTTTGTAGTAACATCCTTGCTGCCTCTATCCCTCTTACTACTTACCAAGTAATGGAACTGGCGCAGGCGTATTTTGAGGATCAGGATGCAGGCCTAAAACATTCAGTTAAAACGAATAATTGCTGATTTTAGATTATACTTTTCGACACGCAAGGATTTCCATCGGATCTGCACTTTCTCACATCTACAACTGCGTTGCAAATGTAATAATTCGGCCCCGAGGGCTTTTTTTCTGGAAAAAATCTGAAAACAGTGTATATCACACAAGTAACAGAAAACCATCCTTACGCGACAGTCAAAATACATTTCTGATCCTTGCACAAGCGTCCCTCTAGCGGCCAAACGAAAAACATCCCAAAACTTTCATCCTTTGCTTTGGCCTCTTTGTAGGGAAACTTTTCGTCCTTGATGCGGCCGTTGATGCAATAGCTGGCCAAAGTGGAACTGTGATTTTGAATGACCACGCTGCGCCGTTGTGGTACTCCAACGAAAGTTCGCGGGAAATTCAAAATCAAAAGATGCTTGTCGGACAAAGGGTAATCGACTTTGAGTAAAGGTTCAATGAAATAGCCTTGGATTTGGACGCGCTGTAGCGGCTCAGTTTTGATCCAGAATTCTTGGGCAAATGGGCCTTCTTGGGTACCGAACAATTCGACAGTGATGTCTTTGCGTTCGCCCGGCTGAATGGTACCGCGCATTGGTTCCACTACGATTCGTAGAATATTACGGCCCAAATCGATCGAGTACTGAGCGGTTTTCGTGCCGGTGTTCATTATGGTCAGCTTTTTTACGTCGGATATTAAATTGATGTCCACCTCGCCGAAATCTAGAGTTTTCGGATGGACACTGACTTGGGTGTAACAAGTGTTCCTGATGATTGATTTCATCACGCAATTAAGTACCACTAAATACTGACGTCACACACATAACCTTACAGTGTGAGATTATATGTGTGACGTCACCTAATAATGCCTATAATTACTTACACAATCAAGTCGTAACCAAAATACTCATTATCAATATAAATGTCCATACAAGCTTGCGGTATAGCTGTGGGCTTAGTGTACAGGTACTTAATGTGACGTACTACGCTTAGACCGGGCGACAACACTTGTCCAATAGGCAAAGGCTTCATTTTGAAGGCCTATTAAAAAAAAATCTCTATAATGGAATTTCATTTTTCAAAGTTTACATACCTTGGATGTAGGCTCCGATATTCTGACAGTTACGATTTTTCTTCGGCAGTTGGTAATGGTGACGGTTTTGCGGTAACTCTTGCCGTCGTAGGCGTCCTTGAAGATCATACAGCCCGGATCGATTTTGATGCCGTGAAACGTCACCGGGTTCTCGTTGGGTGGTTCTTTGCCTTGATGCTACAAAATATTCGTAATACCTAGTTTACAAAATAAATGAAGAATTCTACTTCGATTTCGTGCATGGTAGTAAAGTGATCTTTGGACATTATAGGGCTCGGGTGGTATAAGTAAGTGACGTCAGGAAATCGAGCCTGGATTTCTTTGTCTAGTTGATGCATGAAGCCCTGGAACGACTTGGAGTAGGTGGATTTGATCGAAGCGTCCATTCTGGATAAGGTGCCATCTTTGCTCGACTTTATCCACTGTTTTGCTACTTTTAAAGACTTCTTTTTGTCGTTAGTGATTTCTTTGGAAGGTTCCGTCATTGGTAAAAATTTTATATATTTTTAAAAGTGAGAGTGACAATCTACTGGTACTTATAGTTGTAGCAATGTTGCCAAGTACGTTTGAAATTTTGCCAACATTCAAAATTTAAAAGCATCTTTTGGGGGACAATGTTGCCAGTAGACTTAAGAAAATCGTTGATCTAAAGAACTAATACTCTGTATCAGCTCGCTTTACACTGTAGAGTGATGTTTTGTAAGGTTTTGAAATAAATAAATGACATAAATCAGTGTTCAGTGTAAACCTGGCCGCCATTTTAATTCTGTCATACTCCGTAGGTTCGTTGGACAGAGTTTAGAGAGAGACAAATATCAACTTCAATAACAATTGTTTAATAAAATAGGTCAAGTAGGCCATGTATTACTCATACGAATGTTTTGTTTTTATTTAATGACGTCAGATAAAAAGAGATACAAACATTGTTTATTAGTTACGGTCTATTAACCGCATATGGTTAAAAAAAAAAAAAACATACAAGCGACCCTATTAACACTTTTGTAGCCCCCATATTTGACAATATGTCACGATTATAAAAGACAATTACGAAATCCCTCCGTTCTTAGGAGGCTCCAAACACAATTAACTCATTCTCTGTAACTCCCGCGGAGTGAATACAAAATAAAAAAAATGAAAGGGAAAATTGATATTTATTGCCCAGTCCAGTGGGACAAGATGTTTTGTTTACGTTTCATTGCTGATGTCTGATTACCTGGCATTTTTCAAATTCTTGTAAGTTGGTAACAGTATCAATTAGAAATTAGTTGGAAAATTTGCAATGTCAACTGTCAAAAAAAAAAAAAAAGACCGGATACAACAAATATATAGTTTTGTCTAAAGTCAACATAAATTGTCCCATTGTGCACGTCGAAATCTCAGCGGGAGGTCGCCACGGTCTCGCGAGGGCGTAAAACCGGGTCCGCTCTCAAGCATCCCCGCAGTTTGATTTATTTATTGTTTATTGAAAATATCAGCGGCACTTGCCGGGGCCCTGAGGAGCCGTTTTGTTCCGAACATGATTCGATTGCCGGAGGGAGTAATTGAAACTTTTTTTCAAGGTCGGTGTATCATAAGGGCGCTAGAAATTCAAGTTATAGTAGACTTTGTAAATAGCTCCAGGTTTGTTGCTATCTTTGTCATTTTGAATGCGCTAGACGGAGATGAATATATTTCGCATTATCTTTATTAGAAACGTCAAAGTAGGTCTTGCATACTTCTATTCTCTTTATCGTTTCACATACGCTAGACAAGGATGAATATAGTTCTAGACCCCGGCCAAAGATTTTGTGTAAATGAAAGGTCAACTTGGTATATGAACTTGGTAGGAACTGTACTCGTCCTCTTCTACAGTTGGTTTCAGAAATACATGGTCTACTTGATGAAAAGGTTACCGGAATATTTTGGTATTTTGGATTATAAAAATACATATTTGAGAGTAAAAAAGTTTCTTTTTTTAATAATTTTTTTATTTATTCCCGGCTCTTGAACTGTCATTTCTGTCAAATTGAAAATGGACAACCGCTTGTTATTAGTCCATTGGCCTACTTGGTAAAATGTTCATTTTTTTCGTATAACGGTTTGATTTGGTGAATGTTAGGAAGCGCCCATTTTTTTGACATTTGTAAATTAAAAATCAACTTGGTAGAGAATTGTATTTGTCCTCTTCTAATATTGAGTTAAAGATAGACAGTAGAAAATGACACAAATATTCTTAATTATTGACAAGCGCCGATAACATTATGACGTCACTATAGATGCTTATCTTTCTTTTATTATACTATTACTATTATCAATGTGTTTTGTGATTATTTCCATTATTTATAAGGATTATAAGCGAAAGGAGGATTGCCTATTATTATTATCAAGCGCCAATACCCTTATGACGTCACTACAGATGCACGTTTTCCTTCGTCTTTATTCGAACTCGTACGCTAAGTCCGAGGAGGCCATAGTTTTCAAAAAGTTTCACTTCTATCACGTTTACGGCACTGCATATGATATTTTTAAATTTTCCCGGTTCTTGACTGGTTTAAAAATTCAATTTCTGAATTTTCCCGGCTCTTGATTGGCTCGAAAATTCAAATTTTGAATTTTCAAAATTTAAATTTTAAAGCCAATCAAAAACCGAGAAATTTAAAAATATTGAATTTTCAAGCCAATCAAAAGCCGAGAATATTTAAACATTGAATTTCAAAACGTCAAATCGAGCCAATCAAGAGCCGGGAATATTGATTTTTTTTTTAAAAAATTCCCGGCTTCTGATTGGTTATACATTTCAAATTTTAAAACATTCTCAGCCTCTGATTGGCTCGATTTGACATTTCGAAATTCAGATTTTCAAAAGTATTTCTTTATTCAAGGGCCGGGAATAGAAAAAAAATTTTTCGAAAAGTCAAAATTAATGCTCAACCTTAAAAAAAAAAACACCAAATTTTTTATATATATATATATTTTTTTTTTGTTGGCAACACTTTTTTTGACATTCAAAGTAGCGTCGCTTATGGGGAGCACCATGAAGTTGGCAATTTTCTTCTTATTTTTTTTCTTTGTCGTTTTATATGTACTAGACAAAGATGAATACATTCCATAGGGAATATGTCTTGTCTATATTGAAAACATCAAAGTAGGCCTTGCATCATGCAGTTGGAACCCGGACAATAATAAATAAATTTCTAATTGATGTGATCTATGATTAGTTCTTTTCTCTTTATCATTTCAAATGTGCTAAACAAAGAAAATAGATCAAAACATTTCAAAAGTTTATTTAAAAAATATCAAAGTAGGCTTTAAAAGTGCATCAAACTATTTTTCTCTTTGTCATTTTATATGTGCTAGACAAAAATAAATAATGATAAATTCCGAAGCGAATATGTCTGGGTAGTTTGGTCTTTACTAGAAACATCAAACTATAGGCCTTGATTGCTTCAAATTCATTGCAATATTCTTCATGGTTTTAGATACGCTAGACTGCTAGACAGAGATGAATATATTTCAGACCGAATATGTTTGGTCTTTTTCAGAAACATCAAAGTAAACTTTATAAGAGCCTAAAATTCGTTTTCTCTTTGTCATTTTAAATATGTTGAACTGAGATGAATATACTTCATAACGAATGTAATACTCACATTCCAGAAACATCAAAGTAGGCTTTGAATGTTCCAAATCTATGGAATACTATTTGAGTGACTCCATTTTGACGTCAAGATTCTATTTTTAATGATAGATCGTAATGAAATACGAACAAATAATAAGCAGTAACATGACGTCAGTGAGTAGGCTTGAAGTGCATAAAATTCGTTTCCTCTTTGTCGTTTCAAATGTGTTAAACAAAGACGAATATGTTCTCTCTCGTCTTTATTAAAAACATGTCAAAGTAGGCATTAGAACCCAGGTGACAATAAATAGAATTCTATTTGAGTGACTTCAATTTGACGTTAGGATTCTATTTTAAATGACAAATCGTAGTGAAAATACGGACAATGATGACGTCAGTTAGTAGACTTTGAATGCATAAAATTCGTTTTCTCTTTCTCGTTTCAAATATGTCAAATAGAGACGAATATATTCTGTCTGGTCGTTATTAGAAACTTATGAAAGCAAGCCTCAGGGCACAGATGACAATAAATGGAATTTTATTTGGATAACTTCAATTTGACGTCACGATTTTACTTTAAATGACAGATCGTAATGAAAATACAGACAAATGATAAGCGGTAATATGACATTAGTGAGTAAGCTTGAAGTGCATAAAATTCGTTTTTGCTTTGTCGTTTCAAATATGTTAGACAGAGACGAATATGTTTTGTCTGAAACATATCAAAGTAGGCCTCAGCAGTGGCTCCAATTTAACGTTAGGATTGTTTTTTAAATGACAGTTCGTAATAAAAATAATAAAGCACCATGACATCACTGAAATAGAATTCTTTTTTATGTAATCTGTGCCTAAGATAGGTGTTTTTTTTTCTTTTCGTCATTCCAAATGCGTTAGACAAAGATAATAAATTGATACATTCCAAAAACATCAAATTTATGCTGTATTCTTCATCGTTTCAGATACGCTAGACAGAGATGAAAATATTGCAGGTCAAATATGTTTGGACGGTTTCAGAAACATCAAAATAGGCTTTAGGTGCATTAAATTCATCTTCTCTTCGTCTTTTCAGATATGGTAGACAGAAGTGAATATATTTTAGAACCAATATGTCTGGTCTTTATGAGAAACATATCAAAGTAGGTTTTGGCAAGGATAATACACATTCGTAATAAAAATGATAAGGCAACATGACGTCACTGAAATAAGATTCTTTTTAATGTAATCTGTGCCTAAGATTGGTGGTTTTTCTTCTTTAAATGCGCTAGACAAAGATAATAAATTGATACATTTCGAAAACATCAAATTTTTTGCTGTATTCTTCATCGTTTCAGATACGCTAGACAGAGATGAAAATATTGCAGGCCAAATATGTTTGGACTGTTTCAGAAACATCAAAATAGGCTATAGGTGCATAAAATTCATCTTCTCTTCGTCTTTTCAGATATGGTAGACAGAGGTGAATATATTTTAGAACCAATATGTCTGGTCTTTATGAGAAACATATCAAAGTAGGCTTTGGCAAGGCACTCGTAATAAAAATGATAAGGCAACATGACGTCACTGAAATAGAATTCTTTTTAATGCAATCTGTGCCTAGATTGACGGTTTCTCTTTTCTTTGTTGTTCCAAATGCGCTAAACAAAGATAACATCAAATTTATTGCTGTATTCTTCATCGTTTCAGATACGCTAGACAGAGATGAAAATATTGCAGGCCAAATATGTTTGGACTGTTTCAGAAACATCAAAATAGGCTTTAGGTGCATTAAATTCATCTTCTCTTCGTCTTTTCAGATATGGTAGACAGAGGTGAATATATTTTAGAACCAATATGTCTGGTCTTTATGAGAAACATATCAAAGTAGGTTTTGGCAAGGATAATACACATTCGTAATAAAAATGATAAGGCAACATGACGTCACTGAAATAAGATTCTTTTTAATGTAATCTGTGCCTAAGATTGGTGGTTTTTCTTCTTTAAATGCGATAGACAAAGATAATTAATTAATACATTCAAAAAACGGTTTGTTTTAAAAACTTCATAGTAGGCTTTTGATGTATTAAATTCCTTTCCTCTTTATCGTTTCAAATGTGGTAAATAGAGATAAAACAATGAATGTATTCATAAATCAAGGAAATCGAAATATAGAATCGATGAACCAAAACATCGTAGAGAGACCTTGAAGATTTTTCCGGCAAAAACGATCTCGGCACGTAATAAAACAAATTATACACGGAAACCTCTCTCTATCCCCCATTATTATAAATACTTTCCTCTTTACTGGCGGACTTTTAATCTTGCGCCGTGCTCAGAGTACATTTATAGGAAATCCACGAGAAGAAGAAGGAGATCCGTACTCGTATATCTTTTGATGGTGTGAAAGTACCCGGTGGACTACTTTTTTTTCGGTTACGGCGCGAACCTCTCATAAGAGGAGAAAGTGATTTGATAATAATTGTTACGTGAATAGTTTTGTTTTTTCAATCAGCTTGAAAATGGATGCTGACCAGTTTAGGGAGTTTGGTAGAGCCGCAGTGGATTATATTGCTGATTATTATGAGACTATTAGAGACAGGTAAGCTCAGAATACTCAGATAAATCATTAGGATTAGTTAGAGTAGTTCAGATTACTTGATAGTTTGAAGTTTTCATATTGTATTATTTTGTCAGTTGCTCATCAGAATACTCAGGTTAAGGTTAAGATTACTTAGAGTAGTTCAGATTACTTCATAGTTTAAAGTTTTCTTCAAAATATTTGTCAGTTGGATTAACATGGATCAGTTAGAGTAGCTCAAAAGTGTAAAATTTGATTTTTCTGACAGTTGGATGCGTTCTTCTGTTTTTTGAATTTTCATAGTAGGCCATATTATTTTCGAGGATAATAACTGAATTTGATTAGATCTGGAAGTTAGAATATATTTGTTTCTTTTTAACCAATGTTACAAAGTGGACTATTTCGGTGAACTCACTTTTCTAAAATTTCACCAACGAAAAATGTTGTGCACGCAAATGACGTTAGTTGCATGTCAAATAAGCCGTGCACACAATTTTCAATCACGAATGACGTCATTAATGTGTACACAAAGGTACATCAATTTCAAATAAAGCCCCTCTGATCAGATTTCGAAAAATCTGTAAACGCATTGACAACTTCAGTAAACCAAGTGAACTCAATTTATTCATTGAACTAAATCATTATCCATCTCTTTTTTCAAATAAAAATTAAACAAGGATAAAGCGATAATTGTTTCCTTTCCACAGACCGGTCCTACCGAGCGTCCAGCCCGGTTACCTGGACGATCTATTGCCCAAAGATCCACCGCAAAGCGGTGAATCCTGGCGCGACGTCCTACAAGACGTTGACAGAATCATCATGCCTGGAATCACTCACTGGCAGAGCCCAAATTTTCACGCCTACTATCCAACCGCTCAGTCGTTTCCCAGCGTTGTTGCCGAACTTATGAGCGCTGGATTTGGCGTCGTCGGACTCAGTTGGGTAAGAATTTCTAAGTTGACGTTGTTGACATTGAATGAATGACAGCTATTTGGCGTCAAAATGGCGGAATCAAGGATAATCAAATCCAATTTGACACAGAAATTCTTGTGACGCAACGTTTATAAATATAAGGAAACCGAAATTTACATTTAAATTACCGGAGGCTGTAAGCCCCAAATTATTACATCTTAATATACAATTATGTAAAAGCAAATTCTTCTTTTTCTTTTGTTTTAAATTTGGGTCATAGACTATCGCAAGACAATAATGAAAATCAAAGATCAAGAAACTCATTAAGCAAATGCACTTATCGCACCTGCTGTTCTTGTACTTGACATTCAATTATTCAATGAAAATTCAATGACAATGACTTTGAAATCGCCTCGGCGCTCGTGACTCGTTTACTTTCACAATCTTTCAGGGGGGTTTTATTTGAAATTGATGCAAATTTGCATAAACGCAAATGACGTCAGTTGCGATTGAAAAAGTGCTTGTCCAATAAGCCGTGCACCAATTGTCAATCACGAATGACGTCATTTGCGTGTACGCAAAGTTGCATCAATTTCAAATAAAGCCCCTCAGGTGCAATAATCATATTCGCTCTATTTTTCAGATCGCTAGTCCAGCAATGACGGAACTCGAAGTCGTCATGATGAATTGGCTCGGTAGAATGTTGGAGCTGCCCGAACAATTCCTGAATTGTTCCGAAGGTCCCGGCGGAGGAGTGATACAGGTAATGGTGATTTAATGTCAATTAACCTGCTCAAGGATTTCATAATCATGCATATTATTGGGTAATGGATATATTATATCCGTCAACATATCGAATAGATTATTAGTTAATTGGATAGGATAATCATTTGTTGCGTGCAGCGGACATTTTTTTTTTTTTAATGATATTCCAAATGTCAACTGTCTTCTTTTGAAATGGATATCAAAATTTTTCTCCATTACCAACCGACAACAATAGGTGACAAATAAACAATGAAGTGTCAACCAATTGAATGACGTTGACGCTTGAAAAAGATTCAAGTTGTATAGCACTCTTTTCGACACTTGAAACACTGTCAAATATAATAAATCTTTCATCTATTCTGCTATCACGATTACTTATAGGGCAAACAAAAAAAAGGAGGTTGTCTAATAACTTTTATGACGTCATCTAAAATGCCTAAACATATTGCAAATTTAACCAAATTTTCGCGACGAACTACTTCTACGATTTTTTTGCGAGAAACTCATGACGTCATAATGGACGCAACTTCTAGCCAATATTCATACTCATGACGTCACGAGACGAACTATGGTTCATCCTTAGATGAACTACGTCATTTTCTCGAAAATCGGTTTTAGATTTTTCTAGTGACGTCATCTGTGTACCATTACCTATTAACTTCCAGTTATTATCAAACTTATTACAGGGTTCTGCGAGTGAAGCCACCTACGTAGGCCTCCTGGCGGCCAAAGAAAAAAAAGTCAAAGACCTCATAACGGAAAATCCTCAACTCAGCGAAGCGGAAATCAAAGGAAAATTAATAGCCTATTCTTCGGACCAATCAAATTCGTCTGTGGAAAAAGCCGGACTATTAGGTGATTTTGGCAACATTGTTGCTTTTTTTTTTTGACAGTTGTGATTGGCAACACTGTTTTCCAAAATGTAGAAGTCGCAGTTAACATTAGTTTTTCTTTTCTAGGTTCAATGAAAATGCGTCTGTTACCGACAAACGGACAAGGACAATTGACAGCTGACACTTTACAAGAAGCCATCAACAAAGACAAAGAAGCCGGCTTGATTCCTTGTTATTTTGTGGCTAATTTAGGTAAGAAACTTGAAATTATTCAAAACTATCACAGAAAATATAGTTTCATTCGTGAATTTCACAATAGCGCTACCTGTATCTAGTTGGCCATGGAATTTCGACAGGTATCTAGTTGGCTATGGAATTTTGACAAAGGGCGACATTTAGGGTACAAAGGCAAATTGTATATTATTGCAAGGATTTTTTTCTATTTAATTAAACAATTATTCAAATCAGCTGATAATTCAAGATGGCGACGTGGGCAAAATAACATTACATCCGATTTCAATTGATTGTAATTTGAAAGGGAATTGAATGTAAACGCGCCATATTGAATTAAGAGAACGTCAAATCGCCCTACATCAAGGTTGTTTAAGAAAGATAGGTTGCCAGGATAACTTTATGACGTCATTTGAGGTGCCTCATTATAATGCAAATCTCCATAAGGTACCCCAAATACGTCATCAAGTTACCCATTACCAGGCAAACTATCAACTTTAGGAACTATGCCCCATATGTCATGTTTTTCCGCCCATGTCACATGTCACTTTTGAAAGACTCACCGGAAGTTATTATAATTCAAGGATATTACACACTACTACAGATTGTTCATCGGCCTCCACTTTTGGAATCAAAGACATATGGTATTGCACGTTGCCGACGAGACGAGAAACGACACGTTACCTACGTCATCACTGGTACTTTGGCGTAATTGGGGGCTTGAGATTTGTTCTACACAGGCCTGTGTCACAGCTTACCTGTGTAGTGTGTAATATCCTTGATTATAATAAAATGTCAATCAACATAGACAAGCAGCCGGTTTGATTCCTTGTTATATATGCTAATTTAGGTAAGAGTCTTGAATTTATACAAAACAGGAGTTTCAACAAATTTAAACAACATTAGCGAATTTACAATAACGCCAACTAAAGCTATTTGGCTATGGAATTTTGACAGGTATCTCGTTGGCTATGGAATTTTGACAGGTATCAGTTGGCTATAGAACTCGCCTACCTTGATACCTTCCATTTCTTTGAAATCTCTTAAAACTAGGCAATTCGAATCAGCTGATAATTCAAGATGGCAACGTGGGCATAATAGATTTGACGACCGTGAAGGTCCCTTTACGTTCAATTGCAATTTGAATAGAAATTGAATGTAAACGTGCCTTTACAGTTGTCAGTTATAATTCCCACAGCGCCATATTGAATTAGGCAAACCAGATCAAGGATGATACACACTACTACTACTACAGGATAGCCTGTCTTCATAAGACCTGTGTGGGACAAATCCACCTCGCCCCTCCTCCCCGCCGCCGTGCTAAATCACCAGTTGTGACGTAGGCAGCATGTTATTTCTCGCCTTGACGTAGGCTGTTTAAACAAAAAATCATGAAAAATTCCAAAAATCACAAATCATAAAAATTTTGGAAAAATCACGAAAATCTTAAAAATTTATAAATATCGCAAAAATTTCCAAAAATCATACAAATTTCCAAAAATCACAAAAATTGTAAAAATTTACGAAAATCACTAAAATCATAAAAATTTATGAAAATCGCAAGAATCATAAAAATTTTCAAAAATAACAAAATTGAAAAAAAATTCAAATATCGCAAAAAATCAATAAAAATTATAAAAAATTTCCATAAATCATAAAAATTTACGAAAATCACAAAAATTTCCAAAAATCATAAAAATTTTCAAAATCACAAAAATCATAAAAATTTAAGAAAATCACTGAAATCATAAAAATTCACAAAAATCAAAATTTTCCAAAAATTACAAAATTTATAAAAATTTGAGAAAATCATAAAAAATTCCAAACATTACAAAAATTGAAAAAAATTTCGCGCAAAAATCATTAAAACTTGCGAAAATCACATTTCCAAAAGTCATAAGAATTTATGAAAATCATAAAAATTTCCATAAATCAAAAAAATCATAAAAATTACAAATCATGAAAATTTTGGAAAAATCACGAAAATCATAAAAATTTCTAAATATCGTAAAAATTTCCAAAAATCCAAAAAAATTTCGAAAATCATAAAAATTTACGAAAATCACTAAAATTATGAAAATTTACGAAAATCGCAAAAATCATAAAAATTTCCAAAAATCACAAAAGTTGTAAAAAAATTCAAATATCGCAAAAATCATTAATACTTGCGAAAATCACATCTACAAAAATCATAAAAATTTATGAAAATCATAAAAATTTTCATAAATCAAAAAATTCACAAGAATTTACAAAAATTACAAATCATGAAAATTTTGGAAAATCACGAAAAACATATAAACTTCGTAAAAATCATAGAAATTTACAGAAATTAACAAAATCATGAAAATTTACAAAAATCCTCAAAATTTACAAAAATTCACGAAAATCATAAAAATGCGCAGGTTATGAAAATTTCCAAAAATTTATGAAAATAACAAAAATTATAAAAAATTACGAAAATTTCCAAAAATCATAAAAATTTCCAAAAATCATAAAAAGTTACAAAAATTTCAAAAATCACAAAAAATTAAAAAAATTTAAGGAATTCACAAAAATCATAAAAATATACAAATATCAAAAATGTTTGAAAATGATAAAATTTTCCAAAAATCACAAAATTTATAAATTTTAAGAAAATCATAAAAATTTCCAAAAATCATGAAAACTTACAAAAAATTTAAAAAAAACATAAAAATTCACAAAAATGAAAATTATCCAAAAATTACAAAATTTATAAAAATTCGAGAAAATCATAAAAAATCATAAAAATTGAAAAAACTTTCACATCATCAAAAATCATTAAAACTTGCAAAAATTACATTTCAAAAAAATATAAAAATATATGAAAATCATAAAAATTTTCATAAATCAAAAAAAATCATAAAAATTCACAAGTCATGAAAATTTCGAAAAATCATGAAAATTTATGAAAATCATAAAAATCATGAAATTTCCAAAAAATCAAAAACTTCCAAAAATTACAAAATTCATAAAAATTTAAGAAAATCTTAAAAATTTACAAATATGTATCATAAAGATTTGGAAAATCACGACATTCATAAAAAATTACAAAAATTACAAATCATAAAAATTTGGAAAATCATAAAAAATTTCAAAAATCATGAAAATTATAAAGATTTATGAAAATCACAAAAAATTCCAAAGATCATACAAATTTCTGAAAATTGCAAAAATTATAAAAATTTACAAAAATTACAAATCATCAAAAATCTTCAAAATTCACAAAAATCATAAAAATTATAAGAATTTAAGAAACTCTCAAATATCATAAAAATTCACAAAAATCAAAAATTTTCAAAAATGATAAAATTTTCCAAAAATCACAATATTTATAAATTTTAAGGAAATCATAAAAAATTCTAAAAATCATGAAACTTTCGAAAATTACAAAAATCATATAAATTTACAAAAATCAAAATTTTCCAAAAATGAGAAAATTTAACAAAAATTACAAAATTTATAAAATTTTGAGAAATTCATAAGAAATTACAGAAATTGAAAAAAATTTCAAATCATTGAAACTTGCGAAAATCACATTTCCAAAAATCATAAGAATATATGAAAATCCCAAAAATTATAAAAATTTACGAAAATCTCTAAAATCATAAAAATTGATAAAAATCGGAAAAATCATAAAAATTTCCAAAAATTACAAAAATTGAAAAAAAATTCAAATATAGCAAAAATCATAGGAATTTATGAAAATTGGAAAAATTTCCATAAATCATAAAAATTTACGAAAATTACAAATCATGGAAATTTTGGAAAAATCACAAAAATTACAAAAATCATAAAAAAAATTCAAAAATCAAAAAAATCATAAGAATTTATGAAAATCACGAAAATCATAAAAACTTATAAAAATCGCAAAAATCATAAAAAAATTTCAAAAATCACAAAAATCATAAAAATTTACGAAAATTACAAATCATGAAAATTTTGGAAAAATCATAAAAGAAATCAAAAACTTCCAAAAATTAAAAAATTCATACGAAAATCATAAAAGTTTAAGTATGTAAATCATAAAAATTCACGAAAATCGCAAAAATCATAAAAATTTAAGAAAATTTCAAAACTCATGAAAAAATTAAAAATCAAAAAAAAAATCCAAAAATCACAAAAATCATAAAAATTATTTGTTATTTATACACCAAGTGAGTTCAATGAATGTTTATTCATATATTATTATGGAGCAAATACTCTATGTCAAGGCGAAAAACGACATGCTGTGACGTCATTACTGGTACTTTGGCGCAGTGAGCTACTTGAGATTTGATTCACACAGTCCTTATGACTATGAGAATAAGCTATACTGAAGCATTATCTACTTTTACATCGTTTTTCTCCGAAATTGTGCCTGCCAAAATTTCGGAGCAAATCGACGAAAAGATGACAATGCCGAACACGGCTTGTATAATGTGTAATATCCTTGATTATAATTCACTTGTTAATACAATACCAATTTACAAATGATAATCATAGATGGCGCTACATTACATATTCCGGAATCTATAGTAGGCCATGGAATTAAAAATTTCAAATATTTCAGGTACTACTCCGACATGTGCCTTTGACAATCTTGAAGAGCTGGGTCCGATTTGTAACCGAGAAGAAGTTTGGCTGCACGTCGACGCCGCCTACGCCGGTACCGCCTTCATTTGTCCCGAGTACCGCCATTTAATGAAGGGCGTCGAAATGGCCGACTCATTTAACTTCAACCCGCACAAATGGATGCTTGTCAACTTTGATTGTTCCGCTATGTGGATCCGTGATGCTAAGTACCTAGTAGAAGCATTTAACGTGGAACGTATTTATTTGAAGGACCAACATAAGGGGCTGGCACCTGAGTACCGTCACTGGCAAATTTCTTTGGGTCGTAGGTTTAGGGCCTTGAAAATTTGGTTTGTTTTGAGAATTTATGGGGTTGAAGGTATTAAGAAACATGTGCGCAATCAAGTGGGTTTGGCCAAGTACTTTTCCGCACTAGTTGAGAAAGATTCCCGGTTTGAATTGTGCTCGTGCAGCATGGGTTTAGCAAGTTTCAGGCTCAAAGGTGACAACGCACTGACCGAAAAACTCTTGCAAAAGATCAGCGACAAGAAAAATCAGTTTTTGATCGCAGGCCATTTGAACCATCGATACGTCATACGTTATGCCATCTGTAGTCGTTTGACCGAACAACGTGACGTCGATTATTCTTGGAGGGAAATCCTAGAAGCTGCTGACGAATTGGTACCGCGTGCCAACAAGAAACTTATTATTGAGGTAGCTGAAAAACAAGGGTTGCTCAATATTGAAACTTGCAAAGCTGACAAGAGTGTGGAAAAAACAAAATAGAGGGCGTTAGTATTGTTGTTTATCTTTAATTTTTTATTTTTGTTAATTGATTATTATAAGAAACCAAAGTTGTTTGAGAGAAGTAGGTTGTCTGATAACTTTATGACGTCATTTGTGGTGCCCAGGTTACCCATTACCAGACAACCTATTTACTTCAAAAACCTTGATAAGAAACTTAGTTTGTAGTGCGTTCAGTATTATGTGATTGTTTGTTTTCTTGTAGGTTAGTGTTTGTGTATTTTTGCGATTTTTCAAAGAATCTGGCAACGTTGCTATTTGCACTCGATTATATTCAAATTATTGCCGCAAAATTATCAATGCAATGTTGCCAAATGTTCAATGTAATTTCAATAAAAAATAAAATTATTTTTAAGTCATATGTTGTTTGAAATTGAAAATCCCTTTTTTTACAGTGGTTCTGGCAACGTCGCTGTGCTTTATCTATTTAGATTCAGAGCCTTATCGTCTTTTTTTCAAATTTTGTTTGTCGTTTAATAATAAACATCGTTATCGTTGTTATTGTTATCTTAAAAGTATCATACAGTTTTAGATTTTTATAAGACAAAATGTGTTCTTCAATATTGTGTAAGATTCAAGCTCAAAATATCAAATTTCTCTACAAGTAAGTACAATTAATTACTAATTTTCCGTGCAATTTGTCCCCCCCTCCTATGGTTTCATACAATTTGCATCAATTTCTAGATTAAGATCATTTAGCTATTTGCATAATCCGTCCCCGGACAAATTTCTGCCGCTCACAATCGGCAAACTGCTTGAAAATGCGGCAAACAAATATGGCGATCGTCTAGCTGTCATTTCCAGACATCAAAATGACAAGCTGTCATTTCAAGAAGCCTTAAATCGAGCTGACAAACTTGCAGCCGGCTTGAAAGCTATTGGATTGCGCATGGGCGACCGAGTGGGCATTTGGGCACCAAACATGACCGAATGGTACGTCACGCATATGGCGTGCGCCAGAGGAGGATATGTTTTGGTAAAAAGCTGTCAGCTGTCAAAATACATTTAGTGACATTTGTTTAAGGTCAACATGAATCCCGCCTATCAGCCTGAGGAAATCAAGTATTGCATCAATGCGGTGGGTGCTAAGGCGATCGTTTGCCCTCACAAATTCAAAACTCAAAACTATTATGAGCACTTGACCTCAATTGCACCGGAATTGACAGATAGTAGGCCAGGGAAAATCAATAGTGTGAATTTGCCCAGTTTAAAGAGTGTTATTATTGTGGGCGATGAGGATTTAAGGTAAATTTTGGTTCAGCTGGCAACATTGTAGCAACTTCGAATTAAGCAATCCAGACCAAGGATAATACATTAAATTGTCAATCGGCCTCGGTTTTAATCATTGAGATAGAATACGACAAGCTGCTTACGTCACAACTGGTGATATGTCGTGGTGGGGGGCTTCAGATTTATTCTACACAGGTCTCATGAGGATAGGTTATACTATACTGTAGTAGTAGTGTTTAATATCCTTGAAGCCCCCCAACATGCCAAAGCACTAGTTATGATGTAGTAGTAGCTTGTCGTTGAGTGTTTGCAAGAATAATACACACCACCAAGTTCCATTTCTTTGAAATCTCTTAAAACAAGGCTATTCAAATCAACTAATAATTACGATGGCGACATGAGCATAATAAACTTGACATCCGTGGATGTGCATTTACATTTGTAATTTGAATGGTAATTGAATGTAAACGTGGCTTCACGGTTGTCAGATGTGGTATTCCTACGGCGCCATATTGAATTAGGAGAACGTCAAATCGTCCCAAGGATAATACACACCACTAGCGGTCGTTGTTTAGTATTTGAATTTATAAAGAATAAAAAGCAAAGAGGAAAATGAAAACAAGATCTAAAAAAGAGTTGTTTTAGCATGTTAATCAATGTAGTAAAACTAAGTATACATAAAGCAAAAGTCCGCAGAATCATAACCTGTAGTGCAAACAGCCTACGTCCATCTGAGAAAGGACATGTTGCCTACGTCACAACTGGTAATTTGGCCTGGTGAGAAACTTTAGATCTCCTCCACACAGGCCTTATGAGGATAGGCTGCTTTGTAGTAGTAGTGTGTATCATCCTTAAATCCAGACTACTTGATTCAATATAACCGTTCAGGTTAAATATTGTGGTGACGTTCATAAGGAAAACACTTGTATTCTGGCCCTTGTTGTAGATGCCAAACATGACAATGTCAATGTCAAACCTAGAATGTGACAAAATAAGTAATTTTTCATTGATTTTTATCAGTTACCTAAACTTGAACCCAAATGTAATTAACACGGTCCTTGACCCGAACGGCCATATTGAATTCTGTATTAGACTATTCAAAATACTGTCAAGCCTAAATTAAAATGTCCGCCAAGAGGCATACAAACCATTTGTTTGCTTGTCAAAGTGACGTGTTTTGGATAGGCTAACTATTCAAGGTGCTGTCAAACTTGAATTAAAATGTCCGCCAAGAGGCACATAAACCCTTTATGTTTGCTTGTCAAAGTCATGTGTTTTGGATAGGCTAATATTTTTTTTCTAATTTAAGGAAATTTTGAAACGTATGTGAAAAGTAACACTTCGTGACGTCATTATCGTATCAATACGTAAATCTATTGAATTAAGTAAATACCCTAATGATTATTAATTTTTCTATTTCTGAAACAATAAGTTTTTTTTGAGGTTATAAATGGACGTTTGTTAATAGTACACCGTTAAAACTGAATATATGCTTTTTCTAATTTAAGAAAATTTTGAAACGATTGTGAAATGTTACACTCCGTGACGTCATTGTTGTATTAATGCGTAAATCACTACAATTTACCACACAGCAAAATGCGGGCATTTTAATACATAAAATTACCAAATTATATTGGAATAATTTCCATAAGAATACATGGTGAACTTATGTTTGTTTATCCTGCAGTAGCCATATTTATTTCGTTTATGACAGTTCGTTGGACTGCCCTATTAGGCACTAGCTGATGTCACACATAACCTAACTTTCTGTCATTAAGGTTGACCGCGGCACTTTGGGCATGTAATTAGAAAAATCCCGGCCCTACGAGCTCGTAATTTAAAAAGTTTATTAAGACTCCGGCCCTTCGGGCTCGTGATTTAAGAAGACTCCAAACCAAGTAGGCTTTGGAAACATGTATGTATTACGATGTCAATATAACAAGGCGCCAAATTCAAATTTTGAAAATTCTCAAAACCTACTTTGTCGTTTGTCAAACAGTGTTGCCAACTACTAAGGATGATACACACATTACTTATCGGCCTCGTTTCTGGTAATCGATGTTTTATTAATGTGTCACCATTTCCGACGTCATAACTAAAATGTCAGCTGTTTAAACAGCCTACGCCAATGCGAGAAATAACATGCTGCATACGTCACAAGTGGTAATTTGACGTAGGGGATAGGGAAGGATTTGTTCCACACAGGCCTTATGAAGATAGGCCGTCTTGTAGTAGTAATGTGTATCATCCTTGAATCCAGACCACGTGATTCAATATGGCCGTCCAGGTCAAATATTGTCGTGACATAAGGAAACCATTTGTGTTTTGGCCCTGGTTATAGATGCCGAACATGACAATGCTATATTAAACCTAAATGTGACAAAATAAGTAATTTTTATCAGTTACTTAAACTTGAACTCAAATGTAAACAACACGGTGTTTGACCCGAACCACCATATTGAATTTGACGTCACAGGCATAACCCAATGAAGTAGAAAGAGGTATGGAATGAGCTTTGCGTCATTTGATTGATTCCAGAATGAGATAGCGCTAGTAAGGGCAAAAAAATCTCATGGATCTCTCCTGTTCTCTCACTCTAATGTTGGCCGCAAATATATGTATTGAGTAGATAGGCAAAGGGCTATTCCAACCCTCTTACTGCTTCATTGGCATAACCTCACTTTACTTGGAGAAACATGTCATTGAAGCTATGTGTGTGACGTCAGCTAATACAATGTACATATCTAATTGGCGCGAATTTCAATTTTTCCAGAGGTGCGTTCAAATATCAAGAATTATTCGACTTACCTTCAGCAATTGACATAAAACAAATAAAAGCCCAACAAAATTCCATCAGCCTAGACAGCTTATGTCATTTGCAATTCACATCGGTAACTGAAAATACCTTTTTCATATTGAAAATGAATCTAGTAGTTTTAGGGTACCACAGGTAAACCGAAAGCCCCGATGCAAACTCACTTTCAAATCGTCAACAATTCGTTTTTCGCCGGCAAACGTAACGAACTGGACCGAAAACATCACATTATTTGCGTCCAAGTACCGTTTTTTCACGTGTTTGGTACCATCGTAACTGTCAACGCTGGTTTGAATCATGGCGCCACTTTGGTACTACCTTCACCTAGTTTTGACGCTGATAAATCACTGGACGCCATACGTGACGAAAAATGTAGCGTCATCCACGGTACACCTACAATGTACGTAGATTTGGTTAGCAGGCAAAAAATAAGAGGCGAATATATCGATCCTGATATTGCGGTAAGCGGTGGGGCTTTATGTTCGTCGCATTTGTTCAAGGAAATGAAGCAGTTTTTAAGATTGAAAAAAGTTAAGGTAAGTTGACAATTTTGATTACACAGGTTTGCCAACTTTTTTGTAGTCAATTTATGGTTTGACAGAAAATACGGCTGTAGGATTTCAGTCGTTGTTCGATGACGACGAGTATCTGTCAACGTCAACTGTTGGATACTTACAAGATCACTGTGAAGCTAAAGTAGTTGACACACAGGTAAGCACTATATACGTCATTTGTCATTAGATTTGACAGACTTTTTTTAGAATAGGATCGTTCCAAGAGGTACTCCAGGCGAATTGCTACTGCGAGGCTATTGCATAATGTTGGGCTATTGGGAAAACGAAGAAAAAACCAAGGAAGTTTTGGGTGTTGACAGGTGGATGAGGACAGGGGATCAGTTTGTCATAGAAAAAAACGGCTACGGTAGGGTAGTGGGCAGGCTCAAGGACATGATTATTAGGGGAGGCGAAAATATTTTTCCCAAGGATATTGAAGATGTTTTGAACACTCATCCGGATATTTTGGAAACTCAGGTTTGTACTTGTACTGGATTTTAAAAATGGCTGCTACTTAATTGTTTGTTGTAGGTGGTAGGAGTTCCGAATGAACGTCTAGGCGAGGAAGTTTGCGCATGCGTGCGCATTGAACCCAACGCTACCATAACCTTGCAAGATGTTAAGACATTTTGTAAGGGTAAAATTGCCCACTTCAAAATACCGTCGAGTCTTAAAACAGTACAGGATTTCCCTAAAACCACGTCGGGCAAAATACAAAAGTTTAAAATCCTCGAAGATATCTTGGATGGCAAAATATAATTGCCAATTAGGCACTAGCTGACGTCACACACAATGACATTTCTGTATGACCTCAGCTAGTGTCTAGCATTAAATAAAACAAAATCCTCATACTACAAACATTCCTTTTTGTTTTGTTTTCTTTGCACATAATATAAAAATTTTGTATGTCAAAAATAATTTGCGGAAGACTTTTATTCCAAGTTGGCACACCTGTCACTTGTCAACAAAATTCCCAATCAACTCTTCGAATAACGTGCCGCTAACCTCTCTGCCTCTTAGCACTTGACTCGAATACCGCAAGGTGGCGCGCGCCAAATCTTTGACAGTCCACTTCCGGTCGATCAGTATCCGGCAAACGGTGTCCAGTTTGGCCAACTGCTGATGTTTGTGCGTGTAGTAGACGAGACGTGGTGCGCCGGCAACGCTGGCTGCCATCCATTGTACGACGACTTTTAATTGGACGTCGCCTTTGCGCGACGCGCCGCAGCCCCAATTTCCGGTAGCGATTGGTCGGATGCCGTTGGAAGTGTTTGGCGATATTGCCGATATCTGGAAATTGAGAGAGAATGTTTACTGGTATATGGCAACGTTGTAATAATTGTTGAAGTTGGCAGAAGTGGGTTTTAGAGCCAGTTTATCAATCAAGGAATTACTCTGGGCTAACTCCCTAGTTAAGTCGAAAAGTGTTTATTCAAGGTTTTTTAACCAAGAGTTAGGGTTACTCGAAGGTTGGCATTACTTATGCAACGTTGCCGGCACACTTTTGTCGATTTTTTAAAGGCCAACTTGATGGCATATTGCGTCACTTGTTACTCTCATTGATTCGAAAAGGAGGGTCGATGACAAACTGTCAGTTCAACAAATAATAAAAGTGTTTCCTATTCGTGGCTCTTGGAGCTAGCTGTCAATAGTCACTTTTGTTAAATTGTACAACAAAGTATATGTCGAAATATTATGCATATGTCAATCCATGGCCAATTTGATGGGCATATTTTGCCAGAAAGTCTTTTATCACTCTTATTGATTAAAAAAAGAGAGCCGATGACGAACTTTCAGTTCAATAAATAATAAATATTTGTCTTTAATCAAGTGCAAAGTTCCTAAGGTTGTCTGATAACTTTTATGACGTCATCTGCATGCCTAAAAATAATGTTATCCACCTGATGACATCATCTGTTTGCCATTACCAGACTCAAGCTTTAGGAACTTTGAATCAAGTGTTGTCTATTCCCGGCTCTTGATGTTAACTATGTCAATAGTCACTTCTGTCAAATTATACCAAGAAGTACTTGTCACAACTTTGACCAAGGGTTATTCCTAGCTCACGGGGTAACACTCTATTGATAAACCGGCCCTCAGTTAAGTAGAATGAAGTCTTAATGTCAAATGTCGATAGTATAGTTTTTAGTTTGACACAATAAAATCTGGTTAGAAATCCAAAACAACGTTAGAGAAAAGGTAAGCGCGAATAACCTTATTTTTCGGTAAGCAGGCTGTGTAATCAACATCTTCTAAAGTTTGCACAATTGCCTCGGTAACGTAAGTGACAAACCAAATTTTACTACGGTTAGAAGAAGCGGTAGTAGTCGTCGGACAATCTAAACTCTAAAATTGACCAAATCTTGACAAAATGGCCGCCAAAATGAGGTCAACGGTTTTTTTTTTTTGACAGCTGACAACTTACCAGCTGCGCTGCCAACCGATGTTTTTGCCTGGCCAACTCTAAACTCAACGATTTCGCGTTCAGGACGATTTTGTTCTTTTTCGTACTGAAATTCGTGACGTCATTCTGTGTAGAATCGCAACTTTCAGTCATAGGAACACCTGGAAAACAAATGGCAGCTTTTGCGTTTGACGTTTCGATTGGGTGTCACTTTACAAAATCAGCGCAACAAAAGCAATACAAAGCGTGTTCACACCATTTTTTTTAAACATGCGTCTAACCGGCAAAGGATTCACTAAGGGTGCGTTTCAACAGCGAACCGGCGAACCGTACGACGGCCAAATCTCGCGCCTCCAGTTCCTTTTTGTCTCCTTTTTCCGTTTCTAGAATCGGATTTTCCAGCCAATGAGAAAACTGTTCGTAGACTTCTTCCAATTCAGAACTGCAAACAAAGTTTTTGACAAATGACACTAAGTCAATTGTCATAATTACCTGTACTCAGTACTAAAGCTATACTCAGACGATTTGTGTGATTCTTTTCTGGTTAGTGATGTTTGTTTGGTTTTAAACTTGTCAATCCATTGGCGTTCTTTGGTCAAGGAGTTTTGCAAAAATTCTTCGTCCAGTGAGTCTTCTTTTAAGGCAAACCCTGTAGAGCCGCCCCGTTTTACTCTAGAACAAAAACAGTGTTGTTTTGACATGTGACGTTTGAAGATGTCAACAAAATGAAATAAAAATGAACAAGAATTAGGTTAGGATTATGTGATTCTCTCACTTTATATCACAGTCTGTTAGTCCGGATCCAGCGACAGATATGCCAACAGCGTAGCTGGATTCTTCGCTGTCGCTAGCTCCGACAACATCCGAAGAAGTTTCTTCTTTTTTCAACGCCTCCCTGAGTCTTTGAGCGAAAGTGCGCCGTCTTTCCGGCGTTTCCAAGTCGATGCTGTACCGTTTGTGGTAGTTGTCGTCTTCGCTGTCTAAAAATCAAGTGACAGTTAATTTGTACGTGACGTCATCTAGTGACAACTCACCATCTTCTAAGCTACTTTTGGCACTGTGGAAATCGTCCTCGCTCGAGCTGGCACTTTTTTGTGTTCTAGGATATCTTGAAACCGGCAGACATTCTCCCGAAGAACCCAAAACGATGAACCTTCCTCTACGGTTGTTGACTAAATTTTCGGTGGTACCCTTTTTTTGAGGCATTTGCAACCTCACCTGAAGTGTGTTGTTGTTACCGCTGTTTTCCGATATTAGTGAATCGGTTCTGGTGGTACTAAAACACAAATTTCGATTATCCTTGCTTTTTGATTGTCCAACTTTTTACCTGCACGATTGTTGATTGATCAAAGGTACATTTTGATTGGTCCCGTCTGACTGATTTGAGCCAATGGATTCTCCAATAGGAGACAGTCTTCTGTGTCGTTGCGTGTACGTGTATGACGTTGAGCTGTTTGAATTTGAGGTATTTTGGTCTTGGTCAATTTTCTTCTGTTGAAATGCCAATAGGCACTTGTTGAGCTCGCGTAGAATATTGTCTTCTTCGTATTGGCCTATTGGTAGTTTTGTGTAGTCGTCTGCGTCCAAACAACAAATATTCACCTAGAACAATATAGTTTTAGCAAATAATCAGGATAGCCTATCTTCATAAAGCCTGTTTGGAACAAATCTGAAGCCCCACTCAATTACGCTAAATCACCAGTTGTGACGTAGACAGCATGTCCTTTCTCGCCTTAACTGAATAAACTCTAGTCTAAGTTAAAAAATGTATTACAAAACAATAATTCCAAAGGTGCTCTATGAATTAATCTATGACTTAACTTTTTCTCTAAGTTATGACGTCATCGGTGACGTAAATAAAAACCTTCGTGCTGTGCAACAAACTATATGTTTGTTTGAAATTTCAGACATAAAAAAACTTATTTTTCGAAAAAAAAAAGGCAAATGATGACGTAAGTACAAATCCTCGTGAAACTAACTTTTTTCTAAGCAAAACAACTTAGTTAATGACGTCAGAAATGGTGACACATCAATATGGTGGCGATTATTAAAGACAAGGTCGATAAGCAATCCTCAAACTTCATTCTCAGTTGCACGAAGTTTGCTCCTTTTTTGACATTGTTTATTGTTTCAACAATTTGACGTTTGATACACGCATAAAACGTGAAATTGTCGAAATAAAAAAAAAGTAAACTTCACGCAACTGAAAATGAAGCTTTACTAGTATGTATTATCCTTGGTAAGTAGGTACTTACCAACCTGGCATCATCCAGTTTTTCGAAAGTAGCTTTGTGTTTTGGGTCAGCTATTCTGGCAACGTGGCGAGCCTTTTCCACAGTAACCACTTCGTTGTCTTCCAAAGCCTCTACGAACAATAATAATGTCAACAGCTCTGGAATTGTAGTCAAGTTGATTGATTCCTGCAAAAAAAAGAATAATAAATGAAAATGGCAACGTTGTTTTTGTTGTGGTCAGTATATTGGTATCACCAACCACTTATCAAATCAATTGAATGTTTATGCGATGTTGCCATAATTACTTGAGTGTATCCAGTTTCCAGCACGTTCCCGCCAATTTTAGCACTGGAAAAACAAATTTGCAAATTTTCCTGGTCGGAATGTTCCAAACGGCCGTCATGTTTGATTTGCAACGGGCACAAGTCTAAACTGCACTCCAACCAATCGTCTATCGTCAGCCATTCTTTACTGCGCATCACCTACACAATCACTAACTGTCATAGTTGTCAAATAAGCATAATACGTACTTGTCTTAAGACTCTAAGGTTGCCTTTAGAATGTTCCTCGTCTAGGTCTAGCCAATCAAAATACTGTAAAATGCTTCTGAATTTCGCCTTTTGGCTGTTGGAAGAAAAATGCTTGAAAAAGGCGGCAAAATTGAAATTTTGCAACGTTGGATGGCTTTTATCGGTTCGTTTCGGAAATGTTGAAAAAAACGCGTTGGCCAAAAGCGACGCTGCCAAGTTGTAGTCGATTTCTGTGACGCTTGCTTAAAAACAAATATTCAAATCAAATATCCTATATTTAACATTAAAATTCTTAGGTAGGTACTTTGTTGCTGTAAGCTGAAATGCAATCCCCTTCTGGGCCTCAACTCTTTGACCATCAGCGCCCTCTTGATAATGTTGGGTAGAGTTTTGTTTAAAAAATTGCTCCGTTCCTCGAACGTCATTTCGTTGTCTAGGAAATTCAATAGTCCGACGAATTGTTCCGGATCTACCGTATCGTCTTCTGGATCCAAACTCACACTGAAAGATTTTATATAACAATTGGCAACATTGGATTTTGATTTTGGTTTCATTGATTGAGATTGGCAACATTGTTTTTTGATATTCGGAGCCTCTGATTGGCTTGAAATAAACTCAGTGTCGCCATTTTTTTTTTACAAGGGGTTCAATAATTTCATATATAGTTTTAATACTTGGCAACGCTGTTGATACTATAATTGTTGTGAGATATAGTTGGCAATCCTGTTTCACTTAAAGTGTAACTTAGTTAGCAAACAGTTTTGCCAACTGCTTGGGTTTTTTCACTAGAATCAAAATACAGAGTTGCCAACTATATGTCACAACGAATTGTTCCGGATCTACCGTGTCGTCTTCTGAATCCAAACTCACACTGAAATATTTTATATAAGGATTGGCAACATTGGAATTTGATTATTTAGTTTGGTTTTATTGATTAAGGTTGGCAACATTGTTTTTTGGTATTCGGAGCCTCTGATTGGTTTGAAATAAATTCAGTGTCGCCATTTTTTTTTTTTTTTGACAAGGAGTCTAATAATTTCATATATAGTTTTAATACTTGGCAATGCTGTTGATACTATAATTGTTGTGACATATAGTTGGCAATCCTGTTTCACTTAAAGTGTAACTCAGTTAGCAAACAGTTTTGCCAACTGCTTGGTTTTTTCACTAGAATCAAAATGCAAAGTTGCCACTTGTTCTAGTGTACTCACTTGCACATTTCGTATATTTTCTGCATCCCCTGTATAATTTCTAGGGTGTTTTTGGTTGAAGCGATTTTCTTCAACTGCTTTTTGACAGCGTCCCACCAGGGCAGGTCTGAGGGTAGCATCACTAGAGCCATTTGAACTTAAAAAAAAAAAGACACTGATTTTGAGAGTTGGATTGTTAAGTTCCAGTTAGGCTAACACTAAGTTCCTAGGCTCAAATTATAAAGCTTCTGTTAAGTTAACAGTAACTATAGAATTTCTTATATAGTTCCTGTCCCACATAGAAATTGACTCAATTTGAGCAAGTTCTTGTTAATTATTCATGCAGTAGTGATTTTAAGACACAAATTACGAAGTTTTTGTTAACTGGCAGGCTATAATTAACCAGAAGCTGTAAAACCCATTATTTGTAATGAAAAATCAATCAAAATCTGACATACTTACATTCAATTTATTATCCTGGGAGCCTGGTGAAAGTGAAACACTACTATTTTTAGAATCACAATATTTGAACTGCACTAATTGAACCCAGAACAGGAAAAACAAAACAAATCATCCTTATTCTAACTAATACTCGATCATTATATTCTGGCAAATGAATCAAAACTTAATTAATCGATTAATAAAAGCCAAAACAAAAACTAATCGCTACGAGCCCATATGACGTGTCGGAATTGTCGGGCTTTCTGGATCTAAAAATACTCCAAGCGTCTGGATAAACAGGCGCGGACTTTCAATCCAGAGAATCGATTTCCAGAGTCGTATTCGATTCGTGACGTAGTTCAATTCAAATTGATCTGAACGGAAAAAGTAGGTTCAATTCAATAACTGTCAGTTGATCGTTTGGTGTAGAAAGCTCTCTTGTTTTTTTTTGGTTCACTTTATGTGATCTAGAGTGAATCTAGATCAGTTTCTTGTTGGTGGGGGTAAACTGATTCAACTACAATCGAACACAGCCTGGTTCACTTAAATTGAACCAGATGAATCGATAATGCAGCTCAGAAAATTCGAATTCGGTCCTGGGAAACTTTCGCCTACTATACAATGATGTGACGTCATTGTTTGCGTAAGTCCATCTTTTAATGTGTGAGGTTTGAGGGATGGAATTTTCCTTTCAGAGATTGACGTCATTGTGTGGGACGGAAATGGTAATTATTGAAATAATAATTCCGGTGTAAATCCATTCAATTTATAGGGCATTGATTTTAGAGTTAGTTTAGCCGAATCTAGGTGGCGCCACTCGTATCTACTTAACACAAATGAGTACGTTTACATCGTTATTAAATTTTTTTTATTGATTTTTGATAAGGAGTTTATTACATGATTATGTATTCAATTTGGCCTTTAACATCAAACTTAAAAACGTCAAATTCAGCCAATTAAGAACCGGGAATTTTCAAACATTGAATTATAAAACGTCAAATCAAGCCAATCAAGAAACAATGTCAAAAAAGGAGCAAATTTCGCGCAACTAAGAACGAAGTTTGAGGATTGTTTATCGACTTCGTTTTTAATAATCGCCATCATATTGATTTGTCACCATTTCTGACGTCATTAACTAAATCGTTATTTGTTTGCACTAGCGGTCGTGGTTTGGAATTTAGATTTATGAAGAACATTATAAACAGTAGCAAATGAAAACGAGATCTAATGTTAATTAATGTAGTAAAACCAAGTATGCATAAAGCAAAAACCCGCGGAATCATAACCTATGGTGCAAACAGCCTACGTTAAGGCGAGAAACGACATGCTGCCTACGTCACAGCTGGTGATTTGTCGTGGTGGGTTGGGGGGTTTTAAATTTTTTCCAAACAGGCTTTATGAGGATAGGCTATCCTGATTATTGGCTCAAAATAACACTGTTCTAGGTAAACATTTGTTGTTTGGACGCAGACGACTACACAAAACTGCCAATACGAAGTAGACAATATTTTACGCGAGCTCAACAAGTGCCTTTTGGCTGCAGGTAAGAAGAAGTGGACAATCAAAAAGCAAGAATAATCAGAATTTGTGTTTTTAGTACCACCAGAACCGATTCACTCGGAAAATAGCGGTAACAACAACACGCTCCAAGTGAGGTTGCAAATGCCACGAAAAGGGGGCGCCACCGATACTTTAGTAAACAACCGTAGAGGGCGGTTTATTGTTTTGGGTTCTTCGGGAGAGTGTTTGCCGGTTTCAAGATACCCTAGAACACAAAAAAGTGCCAGTTCGAGCGAGGACGATTTCTACAGTGCCAAAAGTAGCTTAGAAGATGGTGAGTTGTCACTTGTCACTATATGGCGCCGCGTACAAATTAACTGTCACTTGATTTTTAGATGACAACTATCACAAACGGTACATAGATTTGGAAACGTCGGAAAGACGTCGTACTTCTGCTCAAAGACTCAGGGAGGCGTTGAAAAAAGAAGAAACTTCTTCGGATGTTGTCAAAGCTAGCGACAGCGAAGAATCCAGCTACGCTGTTGGCATATCTGTCGCTGGATCCGGACTAACAGACTGTAATATAAAGTAAGAGAATCACATACTCCTAACCTAATTCTTGTTCATTTTTTATGTCATTTTATTGACATCTTCAAACGTCACATGTCAAAACAACACTGTTTGTGTTCTAGAGTAAAACGGGGCGGATCAACAAGGTTCGCCCTAAAAGAAGACTCACTGGACGAAGAATTTTTGCAAAATTCCTTGACCAAAAAACGCCAATGAATTGACAAGTTTAAAACGAAACAAACATCACTAACCAGAAAAGAATCGCCCAAATCTTCCGAGTACAGTTTCAGTACTGAGTACAGGTAATTATGACAAATGTCACACATAGTGTCATTTGTCAAAAACTTTGTTTGCAGTTCTGAATTGGAAGAAGTATACGAACAGTTTTCTCATTGGCTGGAAAATCCGATGTTAGAAACAAAAAAGGATGACAAAAAGGAACTGGAAGCGCGCGATTTGGCAGTCGTACGTTTCGCCGGTTTGCTGTTGAAACGCACCCTGAGCGAATCCTTTGCCGGTTAGACGCAAGTTTAAAAAAAATGGTGTGAACACGCTTTGTATGCTTTTGTTGCGCTGATTTTGTAAAGTGACACCCAATCGAAATGTCAAACACAAAAGTTGCATTTGCTTTCCTGGTGTTCCTATGACTGAAAGTTGCGATTCTACACCGGATAACGTCACGAATTTCAGTACGAAAAAGAACAAAATCGTCCTGAACGCGAAATCTTTGAGTTTGGAGTTGGCCAGGCAAAAACATCGGCTGGCAGCGCAGCTGGCAAGTTGTCAGCTGTCAAAAAAAAAAAAAACGTTGCCCTTATTTTGGCGGCCATTTTGTCTGAACGCTAAGATTTGGTCAATTTTAGATTTAGATTGTCCGACGACTACTTGTTTGGATTCTTAACCAGATGTTATTGTGTCAAAAGTGTTAAACTAAAAAATTAACTATCGACAATTGACATAAAGACTTCATTCTACTTAATTAAGGGTCGATTTATCAATAGATGGTTACCTCATGAGTTAGTAATAGCCCTGAATCAAAGTTGTGACAAGTGTTTATCCGACAAAATATACTTCGTGGTATAATTTGACAGAATTGACCATTGACATAGTTAACATCAAGAGCCGGGAATAGACAACACTTAATTCAAGATTTCTAAAGCTTATATAGGTAGTCTGATAATGGCAAACAGATGACGTCAACAGGTGGTTTACATGGATATATGCATTATTTTTAGGCATACAGATGACGTCATAATAGTTATCAGACAACCTATAATACAAACATTTAGGAACTTTGTACTTGATTAAAGACAAATATTTATTATTTGTTAAACTGAAAGTTCGTCATTGGTTATCCTTTTTTAATCAATGAGAGTGACAAGAGACTTTCTAGAAAAATGTGCCATCAAGTTGGCCATGGATTGCCATATGCACAATTTTTTAACATATACTTCGTTGTACAATTTGACAGAAGTGACTATTGACAGTTAACTCCAGGAGCCAGAAATAAACAACACTTTTATTATTTGTTGAACTGACAAAGTGTCATCGCACAAAAGTGAGCTGGCAACGTTGCATAAGTAATGCCAACCTTCGAATAACCCTAACTCTTGGTTAAAAAACCTTGGATAAACACTTTTCGACTTAATTAGGAACTTAGCCCAGAGTGTTATCCCTTGATTGATAAACTGGCTCTAAAATCCACTGCTGCCAACTTCAATAATTATTACAACGTTGCCAAATGTCTCAAACATTCTCTCTCAATTTCCAGGTATCAGCAATTTTACCAAACACTTCCAACGGCGTTCGACCTAATCACGACAGGTAATTGGGGCTGCGGCGCATCACGCAAAGGCGACGTCCAATTGAAAGTCGTCGTGCAGTGGATGGCGGCGAGCGTCGCCGGCGCGCCCAGTCTCGTCTACTACACGCACAAACATCAGCAGTTGGCCAAATTGGACACCGTGTGCCGGATACTGATCGACCGGAAGTGGACTGTCAAAGATTTGGCGCGCGCCACCTTGCGGTACTTGAGTCAAGTGCTCAGAGGCAAAGAACTCAGCGGCACGTTGTTTGAAGAGTCGATTAAGAATTTTGTTGACAAGTGACGTATACGCAGGTGTGCCAACTTGAAATGAAAGTCTTCCCCAAATTATTTTTGACATACAAAATTTTTATATTTAGAGGATATTATTATGTGCAAAGAGAATGAAACAAAAAGGAATGTTTGTAATAATATGGGGATTTTGTTTTATTTTGATGTTTTTTAAGTCATATTGGTACACACAATTAGGTATTTGCTGACGTCACACACATAACGTGAATGACTATTTTGATTTCCTTTGAAAACTGTGTTTTTTAATTTAGCAGACTTCAAAAGTTTGTGTGCTTGAGTCGTTAGCTAATTACGAAGACGAGTTTGTTTGTTCAGCAAGATAATTTCAAAATACCCTATCATCTGTATCGGCGGCCATCTTGAAAGTCAGGAATGCAGGTGACGTCACAGCACTTGTGAACAAATTTAGCTGATTGAGCAATCCTGTAGAGTTTACGATTCTTGGTCTGTATTAGCCATTGAGGTAGTAGCGTTTTGAATAGGCTAAGGCCAGAATCCCATGCATCTGTTTTCCAATATGTCAGAATAGAAGGTTTTTTGGACATCGGACGTTGGAAAATGGATGCATGAGACTCTGCACTAATATGGGTCAGGGGTTAACTGGGACTTCGCTCATTAACCTGTTTCACACTAATGGCCGGTTTCTCAATAGCGAGTCACTTCCGAATTGGTTTTAACTCCACAGTAGACGAAACGTATCCAATTGCTATATTTACCTTGCAGTTATGTTTAACCCGGGGTTGATTTGCTATTAAGAAACCGGCCCTAAACAAACAATCCTTGGTTAAATGACTAGTGGTTGAATTTTATTTCTCAAAGGTGGTACTTGATTTTTCGACTAAATATCAAAAATCACCTTGAAAAATTTAAAAAAAAAAGGCCCCTGAGGCAGTAAAATTTCACGGATTCAATACAAAGAGCGAATTTTGATCGTGGAGCCATCTAAGAGGAGGATTCATCATAAAAACGAACCATTTCAGCTAACTCATAGTTAACTCATTCGGATCCTTGGGTTATTTCAACTACTGAACCGAACACAAACGCTTTCGCGAGAAACTCGTGACGTCATATTGAACGTAATTCGACGGAAGCATGGACGCAGCTTCTAGCTAGCGTTTAAACTCATGACGTCACAGACGAACATTCTTGGATGAAGTACATTCATCGCTAAAATTTGGTTCTGGTTAACTAAAGGTGTCATGTTGAACCGTTAATCGTGAAACGCTGTTTTTACTATAACTAGTAGTTGTCTCATAACTAGTACCTAGTTTACTACAATTTGTGAAACTGGGCGTTAGAGGTACTAGTCCTAGAGCCTGTAATAGAAACAACATGTCTTTTAAACTTGGCAACGCTGTTAATCGATGTCGATGTAACAACACGACAGTTTGAAAAGCGACAAAGTAGGCTTTGGAAAGTTTGAATTTGGCGCCCAAACTAGACACCTGTAATACCGACATGGTAATACATAGATATTTCCCAAGAATGATACACAGGCTTAAGGCCGAATTCATGTTGACATGTCACTAGATGTATTTTGACAGCTGACAGCTTTTTACCAAAACGAATCAAACTCTCAATCATATGCGTAACGTACCATTCGGTCATGTTGGGCGCCCAAATGCCAACCCTATCGCCCATGCGCAATCCAATAATTTCCATACCGGCTGCAAGTTTGTCAGACTTCTCGAAATGACAGCTTAATGTTTAGAAATGACAGCTGAACGGTCGCCATATTTGTTTGCCACTTTCTCGAGCAGTTTGCCGAATGTGAGTGGCAGAAATTTGTCCGGGGACGGATTGTGCAGATAGCAGCTGAGTAATCTTAATCTGGAAGTTGGTGCAAATTGTATGAAACCTGAAAGTACGGGTTGTTAGGACAGTGCGCAATGGACAACTTACAACGTAAACGTTAACAAAACCTATTCAGCAAGATGTTGACTCACTGCTGACGTTGTACGTTGCGTTCACCTGCGCAAAGCCAACAAACCGGTTTATAGGCTTTATCCAAACATGTGACTTTAACACGTAAACAAAAGGTTTGTGTGCCTCTTGGCGGACATTTTTATTTAAGTTTGACAGCACCTTGAATAGTCAGCCTATCCAAAATATGTGACTTTGACAAGCAAACAAAGGGTTTGTGTGTCTCTTGGCAGACATTTCAATTTAAGTTTGACAGCATCTTGGATAGTCTATATTCCTATTCAGAACACGTGACTTTTGACAAGTGTGCCTCTTGGCGGACATTATAATTTACGTTTGACAGTACCTAAAAATGGTATGCAACGTCACTGTTAGTACTTTGCGATTAACCAATTTACCTACCAACTATCAATAAATCCTTCTACTGAAGATGAAGGTAAACCTTCAAAGCGAGTTGTGCATTTTCTAAAGTGTCCTGTGAATTTTTGAATATCGAAACCAATCAAGAACTGGAAATATTCAAACATTGAATGTTATAACGTCAAATTTGGCCAATCAAGAGCCGGGAATATTTAAATATTGAATTTTAAAGCCAATCGAAAGCCGGGAAAATTTAAAAAATTGAATTTTAAAACCAATCAAGAACCGGAAATATCCAAACATTGAATTTTGAAACGACAAATTCAGTTTCAATTTTAGTATTTCTGGTGTAAACCTATTCATTTCATAAGGTATTGATTTTAAGGTTAGTTTAGTCTAATCTAGGTGGCGCCACTTGTATCTACATCACACAAACGAGCACGTTTACACCATTAATAACATTCTTATTAATTTTCGATAAGGAATTCATAATTATTTAATTTGACGGAAATAAATTAGAAAAACATTAATAATAATTATAAATTGTTATCAACAATGTTCGCTTTATTTATGAGCGATAATCTTTTAATTCCTTTTATCGTATATTTGAATAGCGCAATTGAATGCCGACTCAGTCCATTGTTAGAAATGATGTGGCGTAGAAACCTAGAAATATTTAAATGTCTTGTCAAGTAAGTAAGTCATAACTTGCTTAGGGCCGGTTTATTAATTTTCTAGTTAGGTATATGCAATCTGACGAAATATGTAATACCTACCAAAGGTAAATTTATCTTGCAGATAGTTATCTAAAGATGAATAAATACGGGCTTTAGTGTGGAAACCTTATTAGATTCTGCCTCACATAAACCATATCATATCGACTAAGGTTTTTGTTAACTAACAAGGACTTAGAAAACGATTGATTTAATCAATTGATTATAGTATACAAAATGTTGTGACGTCATAATGTTAAAAAAATCTCCTCACAGAAATAACAAAACATTTGGAAAATATGCTTTTTTTTTTGCGTTAATTAGAATAAAATTTACAATTCATTGTTCATTGCCTTGATATTAACCTTACAGGCTAAATTCCATTTGGATTAATAAAACATTAAAATTACACACGTTTATTTTTTTGTATTAATGTTTTGTTACACCATTGCAAGACCAGTTCCCTTAAAAAATGTTGAATGACGACCAAAAACCCAAGTAAGCAAACTTCATAGTTATTTCTAGTAAATAAAACTAAATATTGACAGATTCCGTAACTATTCCTATCTGCACAATCCCGGCTCAGAACCGCTCAGATCGTTAACAATCGGAAAACTCCTCGAAGAATCCGCTCAGAAATATGGCGAGCGCACCGCTCTGGTGTCCCGATCCCAAAACAAACGGTTCACCTACCAAGAGGCATTAGATCAGGCTGACAGACTGGCCGCAGGCTTCAGAACCCTGGGATTAAACATGGGAGATCGAATTGGGATTTGGGCTCCAAATATTGCCGAGTGGTACTTGACTCATATGGCTTGTGCACGAGGAGGATTTGTGCTTGTAAGGAAACTACTATTTCTGAGTTGAAACTGAATTGTGTTTTTAGGTGAACATCAATCCAGCTTATCAACCAATGGAATTGCAAGCTTGTATTAATTCGGTTGGAGTCAAAGCGTTGGTTTGTGCTCATAAGTTCAAAGATGACAACTATTATGAGCATTTACTTAAGTTGGCTCCGGAGATTCAGAAATGTCAAGCTGGCAGGTTGTTTTCTAAGGCCCTGCCTACATTGGAAACAATTATTGTGCCCAGCGATGAAGAATTAAGGTACGGGACGATTACGAGTATTTTTCTGAGTCAAATTGTATTTTTTTAGTGGTACGTTTAAGTACGATGACGTAGTCAATTTGGCCTCAGAAGTGGAAATTCAAAATATACGCAACTTGCAAAATTTTATTAATCCTGACGGAGTTTGTCATTTACAATTTACTTCAGTAAGTGTTTCGCTTAGTTGTTGTTTGAAATTCAACCGTCAGATGGCGTTGTTGTCGATATAGTAGGCGTACTGTCTCCATTTTTTTGAATTTTTGTTTCGGCACTTGCAACAGTTGACTTAAAATTGAAACAAATACATACATATTGTTTTTATTCCAGGCTCTTGAGTTTTCTTCATTGGAAAAAATTTAGGAAACATACAAGAGCCGGTAAGAGACAAAAATTGAAACAAATGTCTTTTTATCTCTTTCTTATACAAGCTAGTAGAAAAAGACATGAATATACTCTCGGTATTACAGGTGCCTAGTTTAGGCGCCAAATTTAAACTTTGAAATATTCCAAAGCTTACTTTGTCGCTTGTCAAACTGTCGTGTTGGTACATCGACATCGATTAACAGCGTTGCCAACTTTCAGAAATGTTGTTTCTATTACAGGCTCTTGAGTTTTCTTTATTTGGAGAAATTTAGAAAAGTTAACAAGAGCCGGTTATAGACAAAAATTACTTAGGTAAGTGATTATTTGCTTAGAATTAGAGTCCTGTTATAGTTAATCTGTTGTTTGAAATTGAACCGTCAATAGTGTCATAAATGGCGCTGTTGTCAACATAGTAGGCGGAAGTATTTTCTTCCTAATGGAGTTAAAATTGAGACAAGTAGATATATAGGTATATATCAAGGTTAAAATTAATAGGTTACCTAGTAATGGGTAACTTGATAACATATCTGGAATGCTTTATGGAAATTTGCATTATGTTGCAATACCCTAGATGACGTCATGATGTTATCAGGCAACCTACCTCTCTCAAACAACCTTGATTATACATATTGTTTCTATTCCAGGCTCTTGAATTTCCTTTATTTGTGGTACACATGGTAGGAGTGCAAGTTCTTGTAAATGATTCCTCTTTCATACAACTTTCAGACTAGGATATGAGTCAGTATAAAAACAAAAACGCGCATCTGTCAAAACGTCACAAGGTTATCGGCGCTTCACAATAATAGGCAATCCTCTTTGCTTATAATCCTTGGTTTGTGACAATTAGGCAATTCGAATCAGCTGATAATTTTAAATGACGACGTGGACATAACTGTAACAAACAACCGTGAAGTTGCCTTAACATTCAATTCCAAATAATTGTAATTTGAATGAGAATTGAATGTAAACATACCTTTACCTTTTTGTCAGATGTGATACTCCACGGCATCATATTGAATTAAGAAAACGTCAAATCCAAGAATAATATACACTACTACTACAGAATAGCCTATTCTCATAAAGCTTGTATTAAACAAATCCAAAACCTCCCACTACGCCAAATCACCAATTGTGACGTAGCAGCATGTTCTTTCTCGCCTTGACATAAGCTGTTTGCTTTGTAGGTTATGATTCCGCAGACTTTTGCCGCTAGTGCAAGCAACTGACAACTTAGTTATGACGTTGGATATGGTGTCACACAAATATGGCGGCAATTACCAAAAACGAACTCAATAAACAATCCTTAGTAGTGTGTATTATCCTTGATTCGACTCAGCTAATAATTAAAGATGGCGACGTGGGCATAACAAAATTAACGACCGCAAAGTTACCTTTACATTCAATTCCAATTGATTGTAATTTAAATGGGAATTAAATGTAAACGTGCCTTCACGGTTGTCAAGTATGTGATTTCCACGGCGCCATATTGAATTAAGAAAACGTCAAATCGCCTAATCGTTCATCGGCTGTCATTGTCATTAGCTGTGTTTCTCCGTCTCTCTACGTTATATCTTTCTTCTCTCTCGTGTAACAAAATTTGCTAAAACGTGACGCGTCTTTTAAATCATTCTCCATTTTCGTACAAATTTCAGACCGCCGCCCAAAGTTCCTAAAGTTAATAGGTTTTCTAGTAATGGGAAACAAATGACGTCATCGGGGATGTCTTATGGAGATTTGAGATTTGCATTATCTTTAGACACCCCAGATAACGTCATAAAAGTTATTTGGCAATCCAATGATGATACACAGTACTACTACAGGATAACCTATCCTCATAAGGCCTGTGTGGAATAAATCCCCTTTCTACACCCCACGCCAAATCACAAGTTGTGACGTAGGCAGCATATTATTCCTCGCCTTGACGTAAACTGTTTAAACAGCTGACGATTTAGTTATGATGTCGGAAACGGTGACACACCAATTTGGCGGCGATTATCAAAAACGAGACCGATAAGCAATTCTTAGTGTGTATTGCGTCAAATCGCCCTAACGCTCGTCGGCTGTCATTGTCATTGGCTGTTTTTCTCCGTCTCTCTACGTTATATCTTTCTTCTCTTTCGTGTAACGAAATTTGCCAAAGTGTGACGCGTCTCCACTCTCCATACTCGTCCAAATATCAGACCGCCGCCCAAAGTTGTTAAAGTTAATTAAACAGATGACGACATCGAGGGTGCCTTATGGATTATGTTTAGGCACCCCAGATGACGTCATAAAAGTAATCTGACAACCTACTTCTTTCAAACAACCTTGACCACCGTCTAAGAAGCTTCACTTCAAAATTTAGAAAAGATTCAAGAGCCGATAATAGACAAAAATTGATTCTTCTTCTTTTTTTTTGTTACGTCAATCAGAGGAACCGATTCTGTTTTAGGGTACCACAGGCGTTCCGAAATCGCCTCAACAAACCCACTTCCAAATCGTCAACAATTCATATTCAATCGGCAAAAGGAACGAGCTGGACAAACGTCATCACACCCTTTGCATGCTCGGGCCATTTTTCCATGCTTTTGGTACTGTCATTGTACTGTGCAGCGCTGTTAATCACGGTGCCACTTTGGTACTGCCTGCGCCCGGGTACGACCCGGACAAGGCCCTCGACGCCATCAGAGACGAGAAGTTAGTTATCAAAATTATGCTGTCAAAATTGTCAATTTTTTGTTTTTCGTTTGACAGGTGTTCGGTTATTTTGGGTACCCCGACAATGTATGTGGATATTGTCAACAGGCAAAAAATTAGACAAGAAAATATCAATCCGGAAATTGCTGTCAGTGGTGGTGCTTGTTGTTCGCCTCACTTATTCAGGGAAATGAAGGAGATTTTAAAACTCAAAAAAGTCAAGGTAGGCTCGAGTAATGACAAATGACATTAATGACGCATTAGTTTTTAGTCTGTTTATGGTTTGACAGAAGTGACAGCTGTTGCATTTCAATCCCTATACGATGACGACGAGTATCAGTCTACGTCAACAGTGGGGTATGTTGGTGATCATTTGGAAGTTAAAGTTGTAGATGAGAAGGTAAAGGCCGGTTTTTGCTTTAATGGTTAGTTGACAGTAGGTTTTTAGGGCCATACTGTTCCCAGAGGTACTCCTGGTGAATTATTGATAAGAGGCTATTCCACAACGTTAGGTTATTGGCAAAATGAGGAAAAGACTAAAGAGCTAATTGGACCTGATAAATGGCTCAGAACTGGGTAAATAACTATCTGATTGTATTGGTGTCTTTTTCTAACAGTTTGCATAAGAGAGATACAAATACATTTTTACTGCGCTAATTTTTTAGGGACCAGTTCATTCTTGAAGAAAACGGTTACGGAAAAGTAGTAGGCCGGCTAAAAGAAATGGTAATCAGAGGCGGAGAGAACATTTTTCCGGCCGAAGTCGAAGATTTTTTAAACACGCATCCAGGAATTTTGGAAACTCACGTAAGGTAAAATTCGATTGAATTTTCCGGTTTATTTTCCGAATTTTTTTCCAGGTCATTGGCGTACCGCACGAACGTTTGGGCGAAGAAGTGTGCGCATGCGTGCGACTCCGACCCGGTCATCAGCTGACCTTGGACGACCTCAAATTGTTTTGCAAAGGGAATTTAGCGAATTTCAAAATACCTTCCAAATTAAAAATAGTGGAAAGTTTTCCGAAAACAACCTCGGGCAAAATACAAAAATATAAATTAATTAACAATATAAATAAGGAAATTAACTTAAGGTCCAAGGTCAACTTACCTATATCTGATTGATCTTGAGCTATTTTTTTTGCGGTGGAATTGGTGCACTTAGGTTGAACCACCAGTGACGTCACATTGAACCTGGTTTATAAAAGTTCGAATCGGACCATTTTGACATAAGACTGTGGTGCAAAGCTTCTATTTTTTTGCGTTCACAAATGATGACGTCATCAACAAATTGAAAACGCCTTTGATGTCAAGATCCAGGTCACTTGGATAAATTAAATTATTTTAATAAAACATTTGGCTTTTATTTTTAAGATAAATATAAATTAATTAAATTGCCTTAAACATAGCCTATAATAATTATTATTTACAACTTATCACTGTTTTTACCTAAAAAATACTCAAGGATAATACACACTACTACTACTACTACAGGATGACCTATCCTCAACCCCCCACGCCAAATCACTAGTTGTGACGTTTTTCTGGTCTTAACGTAGCAGCTGACGACCTGTTTATGACGTCGGAAATGGTGACAATTGCGATTACCAAAAAATGAAACTGATAAGCAATCCTGTAGGTGTGTATCATCCTTGGAAAATACTGTTGAATAATAAGAATCTAGTATCACCTGTAACATAATAAAAAATCAAAAATTTTGACTGTTGCGGCAGTGAAACAAAATATTAATAATGTCAAATGTCAATTTTGACAAATGATTATCAGCTGGCAAAACTGACTGATTTCTTATTTGAAAATTTCGGTTTGCTACCGAACCACGACTTTTTCCATTCCAACGTTTCATAAATCAATTTCTCCTCTTCAGGGCTGAATTTCAGCAGAGTGGAAATGGCTTTGATCAAATGCTGAGCCTCGTATTCGCGACTAAAAAATAACAATGTGTGAACATAACCTAATAACTGACATAAGTAAGTACCTTGTCAAAAATTTAATGACAACATGCTTCAAATATTTAAAATTGACATCTTCCTCGTCCCTTTTGACAATACTGGGAAAATTCTTGTGCGAAGTTTGACTTGGTTGCAAAATGGCTACGGTACCGTTACTTTCCACCAGATCGGAGTGGTAATTTACTGTTCCTGGTGTCCTCAACTCTTGCTGTAGGGTTTTTTTAAGGTCCGCCAGCCTCAATTGCAACATTTTTATTGTCTGAAAAGAAAAAGCAGTGGCAACATTGTATAAACTATTGTCAATTGTCACCTTGTTTTTTTCTGACAGTTGTTCTTCCAAATCGACAATGGTGCCGTTTAGTTTTTGCTCGATATTTCTAATGTCTTTTAGTGATGCGTTTTCGTCTTCGAGGGCTGTCATTTTTTTTGACAGGTCTTTCATTTCTTTTTCCTGTCTGCGCATGTCCTGTTTGACTAGTTCCATTTGTTGGGAGATTTCGGCGTTGCGCAATAGCGCAGTGTTTTTTTCTGACGTCACCCTGAATATAATTAATTGATAATGCGATTTGACGTTCAATATGGCACACTTGATAACCGTAAAAACATGTTTATTGACATGTAATTGTTAGTTGTCAAAAAATGATTAGATAATGGTTGTCAAAAAAAAATAAAACTTTTGACGTGTCAATTGAAATTGAATGTAAAGGCACCTTCACGGTTGTCAAGTTTGTTATGCCCACGTCGCCATCTTGAAATTCTGTACCTTGTTAACGTTTTTTGTACATTCAAGCTATTCGCTTTTTCTTCGCTTAATTCTTTTTCCAATTTCGTTATGACTTGTCTCAGGCTACTATTGGTCATGTGTTCGGAATCCACGGAAATTTTCAATTTACCATTTTCGTCTTCGGACTTGTCCAATTCGCTTTCTACGTTTTCTAGATTTTTCTTGACGACTTTTATTTCAGTTTTCGATATATCCTGAAACATAAATTGCGTACGCCATTTTGAATTTTTTCAAATTTTGATTGGTGGTTAAGGCTCAAGGATGATACACAATACTACTACAAGATAGCCTATCCTCATTAGGCCTGTGTGGAACAAATCCCTCCTGCCAAATCACCAGTTATGACGTAGGCAGCATGTTATTTCTCGCCTTGACGTAGGCTGTTTAAACAGCTTGTCGGAAATGGTGACACACCAATATGGCGGCAATTACCAAAAACGAGGCCGATAAGCAATTCTGTAGGTGTGTATCATCTTTGGTTAAGACTCGGTTTATTCATCTCACTAGTCGCTATCTGCAAGATAAATTCGATTGGCAAATAACTAGACAACCAAGAGGATTAAAGACTGTGTTTTTATCCGTCAGATTTCATACCTGACAGATGAATAAACCGAGATTAATTTTGCTGAAACAAAAAAAGATATACCAACTTAATTCATCCAAGCAAAAAAAAATACAGCTAAAAAAAGTAGAGTTAACACAATAAATAACGAAAATTATAAAGAACCCCAAGGTTTTGGAAGTTAATAGGTTGTCTGGTAATGGGTAACTTGATGACGTCATAAAGTTATCAGACAACCTACCTACTCTCAAACAACCTCGAAAGAACCCAAATAAAAGAACAAATATAAACGTCAAAAATAAAATATATTTATTTAAAAAAATTAAAATAATACAACAGTAGGCTTAAAAATAACTGATCCAACTACTCCATCAACTGATTGCCATCTCTTTCTAATCAATGCGATTAAAAAAAGACAGCGAATATAATCATAGCAAGCTTATTGAAGAAAACTGAAAAGGAAAGCAAAAAAAGTGCTACAACAATAAAAAAAAAAAGGTGCCCCAATTAAAACTCTTTTCCGTCACTCACAAGTTCCTGTCTCAGAAACTGAACCTCCACATCGTTTTCCAGCTGCAACGATTTCAACTCCATTGACAGCTCGTTGACGTCTTGCGTCAAACGTCTAATTTTCGTTTCCTTGTTTGTCAACTCGATTTTATTGAATTCCAATTCCGCTTCAAACTGTTTAATTTTTTCCAGAAGTTTTTCGCGGTCTTCGACCGCCCGACGCCGTTCCGCACCTTCTTCCGCCGCTTGCCGACTCAATCTACCAACCTAAACAAACAAAATATAACTGTCAACTGTCATTTTTTCTGACAATTGTCAAACCTGTGTTTCTAATGAAGCGATTTTGTCGCTCCACGAAGTTTTAATGTCGGCCAATTGCAAATGCGCTTCTTCAAGTCGCTGTTCCAGTAAACGTTTTTCTGAGTCAGTGGCGCAGGCGCTTTCGTCGCCCCGTAAAATGACGACCAAGTCCGCCAGGTGGCGCCGCTCTTGTTCGCTTTTGGCCAGTTCGGTGGCGAGATGCGCCAAATCGCGCGCGGTCGAGTGACGTAAAGCTTCCAAGTCGTCCTGAAAGAGGACCAAAGATGTTTTTTGACAGTTGACAGTTTGCGTGGAGTGACAGAAAGCGATTGAAGCACTTACCTGTTTGAGGCGCCCCCCCAAAAAAACCCAGCAGCGATAACAATTAAAACCGGAACAACAGAGTAAAGTGGAACACGAAAAAAGTGTATTTACATAAAAACCGACAACTAATAATAGATGGCGCTAGTTAATTTTTTTTTCATATGTCAAAAGTCAATAAACTTCAACCTGGCGGAGAAAATTTTCAAATTACCTGTACGTCGCTCAAAGTTTCCTCTTGCCGTCGCAACCTGCCAATTTCCGCTCGCAATTTTTCCAATTGGCCGGTGACTTCTTTGAGGGCGGTACTTTTTTCCGACAGCTCGCGGTCCTTTTCCAGCACCAGCCGCTTGACTTTTGACAGTTCGACGGTCTGAAAGTTTTCCATCTGATCCGAGTTCTCTTTGTGTTCCAGGATTTTCTGTTTCAGATCTGTAAATTGTTTATAGTGCAATTTCGTTTTGCTTGCGCTCAGTGCAAACTTTTATTGACAGTTGACGTTTAAAACATGGTTTATCTGTCAACTGAGTGCAGTCACCTGCCAGATGGAGTAGTTAGAGTGCGGTGCAAATTACTCGAAATTATTCAACTTGTACTAATTTCATAAATTGATGTTCAAATCAGGTGCAACATTTTGATAAACTTCATTGTGTGTAAACATAACCTCATAAATAAAAAACTGTTTAGAGTAAATGGAGTAAGATAATTTGCGTTAGGGTATTAAAAAGAGTGAACTCCAATAGTTTTATTTTACCAGAAAAATCCCTAATTTTGCTTTGTAAATTTAAAGTTAAAATTTACTCCAGCACCAGAGTAAATTTCACTCTACTCTGTATAACTGAACCATATTCTGGTTGCACCTGAATAATACCTAACTTACTCTTTTTACTCCAGTGTTTAGATCCGAACAGTTTCGGAGTAAGAAGTGTTAAAGGAGTCAAAAGAGTAACCAAATTTTTAAACTAGATTTTTTAAACGACTCCATTTTTGATACCCGAAAACAAATAATTTGACTCCGATTACAAATTTTTTGTTTAGAAAAAAATCAATATTCACAAAACTTGTAAAGTGTACTCTTTTCACTCTACTATGGCTGTACCTGAATCATATAGAATTGACACTATTTGCTCCAGTTCTACAGTTTTAGAGTAAAAAGTGTCAAAAGAGTGATCAAATTAAACTTATCTTCACTGAAATAAAATTTTTAAAATATGCCTAATCCTACTCCATTTACTCCGAAAAAAAAAGTTGTCAAATAGGGTGCACTCCAATTATTCCGCTTGTTCTAGAAACGAGTTTTTAGACCGGAAAAATTGAAGTATTTCTGTTCGATACTTCAGGTTAATGTATGCTTTTTTTACTCGAAAGTGACAAAAATACTGTTCCAAATCTTTATTAGATTTGTGTGCTTGTAATAGAGCATAAAATTATCAGTTTTGACAAGAATTCGCATTCCAGAGTAGAAAATTCCACCCCAATATACTCTTCCTTGATCCGAAACTTTTTAGATATTTACTTGACTCTGTATAATTTAATGTGAACTAAGTTACTCTATTTGCAACCAAATTCGAACATTAGAAGTGCTTATGGAGTAGTTAGAGTAAATCTAATTTGCAAATATTTGCACAGTTATTTTTATCAAGCTTGAAATACTTTGCACTAGATAAAAGTTAAATTTGTTCCAATTTGCACTCGTTTTCAGAGTGGAGTAAAATAAGGGAGCAAATATTGAACTTGAAGAAGTGATATTCTGATAGGAGTAAATAGATTATTGACAATTGATCAAGAAGAGAGTAAAAAGAGTGAACTCCAAATGTTCCATTTTTACTAATTGAATTTAATTTGGCAACTTCTTTTACTCTTTTGACACTTTTTACTGCAAAACTGTTCCGATTTGGACACTGGAACAAATAGTGTAAATTTCATGTTATTTAGGTGCAGCTAGAATAGGGTGATTAGGGACAGTAATAGAGAGATTTTGAGCCACTTTCTTGAGAATTTTTTTCAAGTAAAGAGCCTGGAATAGAAAAAAAAATGAAAATTCAAGACTGATTAAACTCTATTAAAACCAGAGTAAGTTTATTTGAATCGAACTCGAACATTAGGAGTAGTTAGAGTGCGGTGCAAATTACTCGAGATCGAGAGTGTTCAACTTGCACTCACTTCAATAGTAAATTCACAAGCTGCTGTTTGCACTCAGTTCAAGTGCAATATATTTGACCAATGTTAATGTGTGTTCGGAGTAGTAAAAAGAGAGAACTCCGATAGTTTTACTTAAACGAGATGGTAAATTTCTCTAATTTTCCTTAGTTGAATCCGAAGTCGAAATCTACTCCAGCATTAGAGTAAAATTCCAATTTAAAAAAATTCTAATATTTTTGGAGTGGAATTTTTAAAGTAGTATTTTACTCTATTCCGTATAGCGGAATAAGAGAGAGTGAGTTTATTTGCGTTTGGATATCAAGATAAGAGTGAATGTTGTTCGACATTTTTTTGCTCTTTTTACCTTAAAATGCTCAAACTGATCCGAATCAGTATTAGGCGATTTTATTAGTTTTAATATAGAACAAAAACTTCTGGAGTATGCTCTTTTAACTTTAATTTTGCTAGCTTAAATGTTTAGAGTAAAAAGAGTAAGTTTATTTGCGTTCGGTTATTTAGGATGGAGTAGAAAGAGTAAACTTAGCGATTATTTATGACAACTTTGGATATTTGCAGTGAGCTTCATTTACTAGTAATTCTGTAAAACATAGTTACTCTATCTACACTAAATAAACAAATTCAAACATTAGGAATGTTTACGGAGTAGTTAGAGTTAGTTTCTTTACTCTAAAAACCCCTAAAAAAAGGTCAATAAGAATACAATTCTGAACTATCTGTTTACTCAGAACACTTTGGAAACACTCTTTCTTAAGCTGGATTCGGCTTATACGCCAAAAAGCGATACCCGAACGGCAGAAGTGCAAATAGAGTTACTCGGAGTGAGCAAGCCGAACCCAGCTCAAATAAGTGCGATTCAAAAGTCTGGAATAAAAATTAAAAAAACTGTAATACTCTACTTGAAAATTGAAATCTGTATAATAAATAGAGTAAGTTTTTGTATAACGGGTACTAAGTTACTCTATTTACACTAAATAGTTAAATTTGAATATTAGAAGTAGTTAGAGTAATAAGTTTTTCCACTATTTTTACTCCAAAAATCCGAACAGAGTAAAAAGGGGTTGAAATGAATACAATTCCGTGAACATTCTAAATTTTCTAAAAATGATTTTTCTAAATAAATGCGATTCAAGGGCATTTTGCTTTCTGTTCTGGAACAGTCCTATTTTAATTTATTTTGCACTGACTCGAATTGAGTGCAGAATAAATTTGAATACCTGCCCCAGAACAGCAAATTTTAAAATTATACATGTGAGTTTATATACAATTTTGAAGTTTCGTGTATCGATGCAAAAACTTATTACTCTACCTCCTGCGTAAGCAGTCCCAATGTTCATTTGGTGTAGAGTAACTAGTTCATGTTATACAGAAACTTACTCCATTTACTCCGATTTTGAATGGAGTATTACAGTCTTTTGAATTTTAATTTTTGGCTCTTGAATCACGAAAAATTTAGAAGAAATTAAAAATTCAAAAGCGAGTGTTTAATTTTTACCTTTACCTCATTCTGGCTGGTCTAGAATGATATAGAACTTGCACTATTTACTCTAGTGTAGTCCCGAACAGTTTGCAAATGAAGAGTGTCAAAGGATTCAAAATATTTGCTAGAACATAGTTACTCCATTTGCAATATTAAAACGCGAATGTTTATAGAGTGTTCGGGATTGTATTCGTTTTCACTCTGTTCAGACTTTCAGAGTAAAAAGAGTGAAATTATTTGTGTTCGTGTAATGGAAAAGGAGTAAAAAAAGTAAAGTGTTTTGAATTGACAAACGTAAAAGCATCTGCTCCAATTTTGAAATCATTGATTGAAAATCTACTTCGCTTCCACTACTCTTTTTGATTTTTCTTCCTTTTTCTTATACTTTATTAGTAGGGATATTGAAATTGGAGTCAATAGAGTAGATTCATTTGCGTCCGGGCAAAGAATATAATAGAATAGAGTAAGCCCCAAATTCTTCAAAACAATTTTATGTTATTTACGGAAATTTTTGAGATTTTTTCTTTTAATTTTACGAAAATTTCACGTGATACCACAGAAATTTTTCAAAATTGTATTGAAATTACAAGTAATTTCAAGGGATTTTTTTTTCTTTGGAATTTTACAAGGATTCCCTGTAATTCTACAAGATTTTTTTTTGAAATTTAGCGAAATTTCCACTTAATTTTACGTGAATATTTTGGAGTTTTATGGGAAATTTCACAAGAATAATTTTGAATTTCCAGAAAATTTAGTCGCAATTCTTTGGTAGTATGTCATAATTTTATCGAAATTTTACGTAATTTTACTTATATGTAATTCTAAATAATTTTACAAAAACCTTTTTTGAAGATTTCATGAAAATCTGATGTAATTTTTATGGGAATTTTTTGAAATCTTACGAGAATAACTTGGAATTTTGAGAGAATTACATGGAATTTCTGGAAAATTGATGGAATTTCATTGGAATTTTTTCGAAATTCTACATAATTTTACCAGGATTCATTGAACTTCCAATTAACTTTTCAAAAATTATTTAAAATTTTTTTTTTTTTAGAATTTCATGTGATTTTTACAAGAATTTTCTGGAAAAATTCGAAATTTTAGGTAAAATGAAATGTTCTTTGGTAGTATGTCATAATTTTATCGAAATTTCACGTAATTTTACTTATATGTAATTCTAAATAATTTTACAAAAACCTTTATTGAAGGTTTCATGAAAATCTGATGTAATTTTTATGGGAATTTTTTGGAATCTTACGAGAATAACTTGGAATTTTGAGAGAATTACATGGAATTTCATTGGAATTTTTTCGAAATTTTACATAATTTTACCAGGATTCATTGAACTTCCAATTAACTTTTCAAAAATTACTTAAATTTTTTTTTTTAGAATTTCATGTGATTTTTACAAGAATTTTCTGGAAAAATTCGAAATTTTAGGTAAAATGAAATGTTCTTTGGTAGTATGTCATGATTTTATCGAAATTTCACGTAATTTTACTTATATGTAATTCTAAATAATTTTACAAAAACCTTTTTTGAAGGTTTCATGAAAATCTGATGTAATTTTTATGGGAATTTTTTGGAATCTTACGAGAATAACTTGGAATTTTGAGAGAATTACATGGAATTTCATTGGAATTTTATCGAAATTTTACATAATTTTACCAGGATTCATTGAACTTCCAATTAACTTTTCAAAGATTATTTAACATTTTTTTTTTTTTAGAATTTCATGTGATTTTTACAAGAATTTTCTGGAAAAATTCGAAATTTTAGGTAAAATGAAATGTTCTTTGGTAGTATGTCATAATTTTATCGAAATTTCACGTAATTTTACTTATATGTAATTCTAAATAATTTTACAAAAACCTTTTTTGAAGGTTTCATGAAAATCTGATGTAATTTTTATTGGAATTTTTTGGAATCTTACGAGAATAACTTGGAATTTTGAGAGAATTACATGGAATTTCATTGGAATTTTTTCGAAATTTTACATAATTTTACCAGGATTCATTGAACTTCCAATTAACTTTTCAAAAATTACTTAAATTTTTTTTTTTAGAATTTCATGTGATTTTTACAAGAATTTTCTGGAAAAATTCGAAATTTTAGGTAAAATGAAATGTTCTTTGGTAGTATGTCATAATTTTATCGAAATTTCACGTAATTTTACTTATATGTAATTCTAAATAATTTTACAAAAACCTTTTTTAAAGGTTTCATGAAAATCTGATGTAATTTTTATTGGAATTTTTTGGAATCTTACGAGAATAACTTGGAATTTTGAGAGAATTACATGGAATTTCATTGGAATTTTTTCGAAATTCTACATAATTTTACCAGGATTCATTGAACTTCCAATTAACTTTTCAAAAATTATTTAAAATTTTTTTTTTTTTAGAATTTCATGTGATTTTTACAAGAATTTTCTGGAAAAAATCGAAATTTTAGGTAAAATGAAATGTTCTTTGGTAGTATGTCATAATTTTATCGAAATTTCAAGTAATTTTACTTATATGTAATTCTAAATAATTTTACAAAAACCTTTTTTGAAGGTTTCATGAAAATCTGATGTAATTTTTATGGGAATTTTTTGGAATCTTACGAGAATAACTTGGAATTTTGAGAGAATTACGTGGAATTTCTGGAAAATTGATGGAATTTTATTGGAATTCTACATAATTTCACCAGGATTCATTGAACTTCCAATTAACTTTTCAAAAATTATTTAAAATTTTTTTTTTTAGAATTTCATGTGATTTTTACAAGAATTTTCTGGAAAAAATCGAAATTTTAGGTAAAATGAAATGTTCTTTGGTAGTATGTCATAATTTTATCGAAATTTCAAGTAATTTTACTTATATGTAATTCTAAATAATTTTACAAAAACCTTTTTTGAAGGTTTCATGAAAATCTGATGTAATTTTTATTGGAATTTTTTGGAATCTTATGAGAATAACTTGGAATTTTGAGAGAATTACATGGAATTTCATTGGAATTTTTTCGAAATTCTACATAATTTTACCAGAATTCATTGAACTTCCAATTAACTTTTCAAAAATTATTTAAAATTTTTTTTTTTAGAATTTCATGTGATTTTTACAAGAATTTTCTGGAAAAAATCGAAATTTTAGGTAAAATGAAATGTTCTTTGGTAGTATGTCATAATTTTATCGAAATTTCAAGTAATTTTACTTATATGTAATTCTAAATAATTTTACAAAAACCTTTTTTGAAGGTTTCATGAAAATCTGATGTAATTTTTATTGGAATTTTTTGGAATCTTATGAGAATAACTTGGAATTTTGAAAGAATTACATGGAATTTCATTGGAATTTTTTCGAAATTCTACATAATTTTACCAGAATTCATTGAACTTCCAATTAACTTTTCAAAAATTATTTAAAATTTTTTTTTTTTAGAATTTCATGTGATTTTTACAAGAATTTTCTGGAAAAAATCGAAATTTTAGGTAAAATGAAATGTTCTTTGGTAGTATGTCATAATTTTATCGAAATTTCAAGTAATTTTACTTATATGTAATTCTAAATAATTTTACAAAAACCTTTTTTGAAGGTTTCATGAAAATCTGATGTAATTTTTATGGGAATTTTTTGGAATCTTACGAGAATAACTTGGAATTTTGAGAGAATTACATGGAATTTCATTGGAATTTTTTCGAAATTCTACATAATTTTACCAGGATTCATTGAACTTCCAATTAACCTTTCAAAAATTATTTAAATTTTTTTTTTTTTAGAATTTCATGTGATTTTTACAAGAATTTTCTGGAAAAAATCGAAATTTTAGGTAAAATGAAATGTTCTTTGGTAGTATGTCATAATTTTATCGAAATTTCACGTAATTTTACTTATATGTAATTCTAAATAATTTTACAAAAACCTTTTTTGAAGGTTTCATGAAAATCTGATGTAATTTTTATGGGAATTTTTTGGAATCTTATGAGAATAACTTGGAATTTTGGGAGAATTACGTGGAATTTCTGGAAAATTGATGGAATTTTATTGGAATTCTACATAATTTTACCAGGATTCATTGAACTTCCAATTAACTTTTCAAAAATTATTTAAATTTTTTTTTTTAGAATTTCATGTGATTTTTACAAGAATTTTATGGAAAAATTCGAAATTTTAGGTAAAATGAAATGTTCTTTGGTAGTATGTCATAATTTTATCGAAATTTCACGTAATTTTACTTATATGTAATTCTAAACAATTTTACAAAAACCTTTTTTGAAGGTTTCATGAAAATCTGATGTAATTTTTATGGGCATTTTTTGGAATCTTACGAGAATAATTTGGAATTTTGAGAGAATTACGTGAAATTTCTGGAAAATTGATGGAATTTCATTGGATTTTTTTCGAAATATTACATAATTTCACCAGAATTCATTAAACTTCCAAATAACTTTTCAAGAATTATTTAAAATTTCACGAGAATTTCATGTGATTTTTACAAGAATTTTTTTGGAAAAATTCGAAATTTTAGGTAAAATAAAATGTCGATTGGAACAAAACTTCCTTTGGAAAATCTGCAAACATAACCTACGAAATCTCAAAAAGCCGGTAATGCAGGCACCTGCAATGATAAATGGAATTCTATTTTAGTTAAGTCACTTGTCATTGTTAAAATAGAATTCTATTTTACTATTTCTTCTGAAAATTGATCATAATCCTGTTCTGAACTAATTTACTGTCAAATGAAGCCCTAAACTAGATCCAAATTAAAATATTCACCATTACCTTCTGCATTTCGTAATGCCTCCTTCAAATTTGATATTTGTTTGTATGCTTCGTCTTTTTCCTTGTCAAAATTTTGCAATCTTCTATCTTTTTCCTTGACAATGTCCTGCCAATCGTGCTCCTTCTGCTCTAGTTTTCTAGAGAATTCCAGCTCTATTTTGGCTATCCGGCGTCTGAACTCTTCAGGCTCAATCGGACCATCTTCTCTGAACCCATCTAGAAACAATAAAATGAGTATTGCTTAACCATGCAAAAAATTGATTTCCCAATATAATTCCACATTGCTGACTCATGAATTTAAAAACTTATATGATAAACAAGTCTTAATTAGGCTAATTAGTTATTACCTGATGAAACAATAGAGTTGAGACTTGAACTGGATCCTTGATGCGATTTTCCTCTCAAATTATCAATTTTCTGTACGGTCGTAGAGGTGATTTTTGCTGTTAATTTACTAAAATCGCTGCCGGTTTCTTCGCGAATTTTATTCTTGAGTGAGGCAAACATATTGGTAGAAAACTACCACAGAAACTAGAAAAATTTAACTAAAACCACGATAACATATTGCACCAGTTACGGGAATAAACTTTACACGTTCACGTTGCGTTTTTATTGACTTTATTTATCATTTTTATCATTATTTTAACTTATTTATTCTGGATTGGAATGTATTGAAATGGGTGACAGATGACGTCACGAAATAGGTTTTTTTTCCCTATCAAAGACTTTTGTGGTTTGATATTTATAACATAGATGGCGCTGAATGTAGTTCTTGCACCGAATAATCCCGGACCAAATTTAGTGCACTCTAGAACAAGTTATAATCGTTCAGAATAAAAATTGACTACAAAAACGCCAACTTTGAGCAATTCTAGTTTTTACGGTTTTTAAAGTGAAACTTTTCGCACTCCTAAAGTTAATAGGTTGTCTAGTGACGGGTGACTTGACGCTTCCCGGGTGCTTTATGGAGATTTGCATTACGTTTAGTCCTTAAAGCAAGTAAAGCGCTGTCCTACGCACATAAGGAATAGGAACGCGCCATTCTGCTTATTAAACTAAAGTGAAGCCAAGTTTTTTTTTCAAAATAGCGTTGCTGAATGAAATTCCAACTTCACTTGTATAACAGCAGATGGATTTTTTGACATTGACGCTCAATCATAGATGGCGCTACAATAACTAATTCAATTAATCCAACGAGTTTACTATAATAAACTTTACACGTTTCACGTTGCGTGTTTATTGACTTTAATTATCAATTCTATCGGAAATTTAATTCATTATTTCAACTTATTTACTTTGGATTGAAATGGGTGACAGATGACGTCACGAAATAGGTTATTTTTCAAGGACTATGCTGATTTGGTATTTATAACATAGATGGGCGCTGGATGTGTTTCTGGTTTCAGTTCTTGCACAAGTAATCCCGAATTTAAATGGATACAAATTTAGTGCACTCTTAAAAACAAATAATAATCATCATATATCCGGCATGTATTATTCAAAATTGAATTGTAGAGGGCGCTTTTGTACTTGGAGCTTTTTAAATTGTGGCGCGTAAATAACCGAGTGAGAAGCCAAATTTAGGCGAACTACGGTTTAAGCCAAGGTTATTTAAGAAACAATTTGTAGATGACGTCATCACTTGCGAACGTGAGAAAATGGAAGCCATAAACCAAAGATGATACACACCACACACCTACAGGATTGCTTATCGGTTTTTGGTAATCGCCGCCATATTGGTGTGTCATCATTTCCGACGTCATAATTAAGTCGTCAGCTACTTAAACAGCCTACATCAAGGCGAAAAATAACATGCTGCCTACGTCATAGCTGTAGATTTGGTTTGGCTAGGACAAGGGGGATTTGTTCCACACAGACCTTATGAGAATAGGCCATCCTGTAATAGTGGTGTGTATTATCCTTGAGCTTGAACCACAGTCTTATGTCAACGGAGAACAAACCATGAATCCGATTTGAACTTTTTTAAACCAGGTTTAACATGACGTCACTGGCTCAACATAAGAATGTACAGGTTACAACTTAATTGAACCAAATCGAACTAGTTCCACCGCGAGAAAACAGCTTTGGTTATCAACGCGCCACAATTTAAAAAGCTCCAATTACAAAAGCACCCTCTGCAAGGTAACTGTTAATTGTTATATGCCATTTCTATTTAAGGCGTTTTCTCGCGGGGCGAATGGTTCGAACTACGGTTTAAACCAATTTGTAGATGACGTCATCAATTGTGAACGCGAGAAAATGGAAGGTTTGAACCACAGTCTTTTGTCAACGGAGAACAAGCCATGAGTCCGGTTCGAACTTTTTTGAACCAGGTTCAATGTGACGTCACTGGTTCAACGCAAGAATGTACAGGTTCGAACCTAATTGAACCGGGTCGAACCAGTGGCACCGCGAGAAAACAGCTTTGGACTTCGATTGTTCGAGTTACTCTAAGTGCTCCAATTGCTTTAAATTTTGTTCTATCTTTTCCGCTTGCACTGCTCTAATTGTTACTGTTCGAACTACTCCATTATGATACTCCTCAATGAATTTATTAATTATCCGTGTGTTCGGTATTTTAATCTAAGTTCTCCGAGCTTGAATTTACCGTTCTTTTATTTATAAAGTATGCTCGGTGCAGGCTCACTTGCGTTCGTTTTTTAAAATTTCGGGCACTCTGGTCTAATTCTGTTCCACTTGCACTAACTCGAATTGTTCTGTTTGCACTGCTTTGATTGATACTGTTCGAACTACTCTAATATTCTACTAAACCAGTGGTTCCCAAACTTTTTTCTATGTCGCCCCCTTTCTGAAACCAAGAAGTGGTCGCGCCCCCCTTTTTTTCTTGAGTATACAAAAACATTTCTTTCACTTACTGTAACTTGTCTGAACTGGACTTTGGGAGAAAAGGAATGGGCATGACAGTAGGCAGCGAGCCTGCACTGTAGCAATGATCGCATGGAAAAGCTGCTTTAGCCTACGTGTATGCGCTGTTGCCGGATTAGAGGCATCTTTTTTTGAATTTTAACTGATTTTTTATTTAAAGTTTAAAAATTGTACTAATTTTTTGAATGACTTACGCCCCCCTCAATGTAGCTTCGCGCCCCCCAGTTTGGGAACCGCTGCACTAAACAATGAACTTATTTAACATAATAGTTAAACTATTTGAAAATTAAATTTGGGTTTTTAGTAATTTCACTCTGACTGTTCCAGGTGCACTGACACTTTTTGATCTGTTCAACTGTTTATACTACTTTGACTGTTCTGAAATTAGGTGATCTGAATCAGCCTTCTGTTTCATTTGTACTAAGTCTGTTCTGTTTGCACTATTGCGATTATTATTGTTTGAACTACTCTAATATATTATTAAACAATGAATTTATCCACTTTAAAGGGGGTGTGCGCCAAAAAAACAACTTCATCTCAAAAAAAAGAGAGAAAAAATCTAAGAATAACAGTGAAATCCGCACCCCTCTATGACAAATAATACCGCAGATATGGCTCTATGAAGGTACCGCATCTCACCCTATGACGTCACGAAAGCTCAAGCGACGCACGAGAAAGTGGATTTAATTAAATTTACATAATGTTTTTCCTGTGTTACCTGCAATAATCTAAACAAAAACCACTCACGCCTGCCGGGCACAATCAAATTAACAATGCAGAGCGCCGCTGGACGAAGTTTTCGTGACGTCACGAGAGCGTCGTCCACACTTTAAAGCGGTATATCTCAGCGATGGTTTATCGTAGAATAACGAGGTTTGAACAGTTATTCTTAGATTTTTTTACACTAAAACTTTAATTTTTAGCGCACACCCCCTTTAACAGTAGGCTGATTTGAAAATTAATTTTGGGTTTTCAGTAATTCTACTCTGACTGTACCAAGTGCACTGACTTCTTTTTGATCTGTTCAACTGTCGGAACTATTTTGGACTGTTTTAATTCTATTACATTTGCACTAATTTAATTTAAATCTTGCATGTAATTTTCTTCTTTGTTCAGGATTCGCTTCTGATCAAAACCCATAATTTATGAATTCCGGAGTTTGCTCCAAGGTTCTGTTCCACATTCCAATGTTCCAAGTTCGTTAGGATGTCTACTCTTGAACCTGGAAAACAGCGTTCCTACATGAGAGCGATTGTCATTATTAGTTGAAATATTCAATAGTTCTCATGAGAACGCTGTTTAAATCTAGTTAGATTCAAAACTGATTATGTTCTGGAGTAATCTTAACCAGTTTTAGAGAGTTAATTCTTGTAATTTGTTTCAGGATTTAAATTAAAGTTCCTTGATCGCGGCTCGAATTGGTTTCGGATCAGTTCCGAAACGTTGCTCTGAGCGAGATTCACGTGTTCGAATTAAACAATAGAACGCTGTAAAATCTCGTACGGAACACTTTTTCTTGTTCTGTCAAATTCGATGAGAATTGTGACGTCATCGCGCATACGGTCAGCCGAAAATGTTAATAAATTCATGACATTTGCAGTTTTGTTTTGTCCCTCGTCCTTGTTCCAGAGCTATTCGGAACTATTCACAAGTCGTTTCTAGATCATTAAATTTCAATTATTGCAGTTCTAGATTTGTGGTTGCGGTGAATAGGTTCCGGATCAGTTCCAAATTAGTTAGTTCAAACGGTTCTAGGGCGGGAATTAACAAGAACCAGAACCATGCGTTTAAAACTTGCTCAATTTTCATTGTTGGTCGGTATGTATAGAGCATTGACAGAAGGAAAAAAGCATTGTACTAGATTCGGAATTTGATACCCGAACCAAGCTGATATCGATATCTAATAACTAGCCGACAATTTGTACAGAACAAATATGTGATTATTGCAATGTAAAATAGAGTAAAACGAGCAACATTGATTAGTTATTATCGGTAAAATTGGTAATGTACTTCGAACAATTGCAGTACTTCGTCAATTAGAGTACTCCGATTAATAGGAGAACTTCGAACAGTTGGAGCACTCTGAACAGTTGATATTGAACCGCCAGAACTGACTCAGAACTGATTCAGATCACTTAATTTCAGAACAGTCAAAGTAGTTTGGACAGTTGAATTGAAAAAGAGTTAGTGCACTTGGATCAGTTAGAGTAGAATTACTGAAATCCAAAAATGAATTTTGAAATCAGCCTACTTTATAGTGAATAAATTCATTGTTTAGTAACATAATGAAGTGAACAAATAGTTTCATTTGCGGATCAAATTCTGATCCAATTTAGAACGAACTCAGGATGTTGGAGTAGGAAACGGAACAAAGTCCGGATCACCAACTAATTAATTTGAGTGTACCTGTACCTTAATAGTTTTATTTGCGGATCAGAGAACTAATTTTAAACAAGCTCTGAACAACGGAATTTTGGAACAAACTCCGAATTTCATAAATCTTGGATTTGGTCAGAATCGATCGCGGAATTGATTCGAATGAAATTTAATAATCTGGGAACAACATGCTAGTAGTTCTGAAACTAATACTTCCATTTGCGGATCAGATTGTGATCCAATCTAGAACAAACTCTGATCTAATTTTAAACGGTCTCAGAATATTGGAACAGGAAACGGAACAAACTCCGGATTTCATCAGTTGAGGGTTCCTAAAAAAGATTGGTTGGAGTAGTTCAGAATCGATACAAAACAGAATAGAGTCGAACCGCGAACAAAGAACCGGAGCAGTTCTTTTTCATAGTTTTTATAATTACAGATTCCTGTAATGATTTTTAAATTAATAACAGAAATCTGCAATTTGAATATGATATTGCAGATTCCTGTAATATAATCATATCATCCAACATAACCTAACTTAATTTATTTTCAGGCATCAACAAATTAACAAACAAAGAATCTTGATTATTTAAAAATGAGTGCCCCAACTCCAAAAGCCTCCACCGAGACAATGGAAGCCGAAGAGATGGACACAACCCCGGTTTCCACCGAGGCCCTTTCGGCCGAAAAATCGTCTATGGACACAACAACCGACAAAAATGTTATGGCTTCGGGGGCCACTGGCTCGGTAACTTGCTCTTTACACCCCTTGGTCATAATGAACGTTTCCGAACATTGGACCAGAGCCCGAGCTCAAGCCGAAGGCCAAGCACCACAAGGTAAAAATTAATTTTGTTGTGAGGTTTTTTAATGAAGTAATTTTGTAGTATTTGGGGCTTTAATTGGCAAACAGAAAGGCAGAAATATTGAAATCATGAACTCGTTTGAGCTGGTTGTGAACACCATTGGCGAAAACACCATTATCGATAGGGATTATTATAACATGAAAGAAGAACAATGTATGTATCTAAGGCCTGGTTTATTCAGCTTCAGATAACCTGTCTACAAGATAAATTTACCTATCAATAATCCTGAGGGCCCTGAGGCAATCCAAGGACCTGTCAAAACAAAAATTCAATATGGCGGCAACTGTCAAAACGTTTGTGTATTATCCTTGATCAAGGTTGGCAAACAGATGACATCATCAGGTGGTTCTCATGAAGATTTGCTTTTTGTTAAGGCACACTGATGACGTCATTGAAGTTAGACAAACCTCTTTTGAACAACCTTGATTGCAGATTGCGTTTTTATCCGCCAGTTTATCAAAAAGTGAATAAATTGGGCCAAAATAAATCAGGAAAATTTAAAATTCTACACTGGTTTTCTTTTTTTTTTTTTTAGTCAAACAAGTTTTTAGTGAAATGGACTTTATTGGTTGGTACACCACTGGAGAAAATCCCAATAACAGCGACATTAAAGTGCATAAGCAAATATGCGACATCAACGAATCACCCATAATGCTTAAACTGAACCCTTACGACAAAAATATTGATGTAAATTTTTTTTTTTTTTTAAATGAGCTTTTACACTAATTTTTAAAATTACCAATTGCATTTGGCAACGCTGCTTGATGCACCCATTTTGTTGTTTTGTAGGGTTTATTGCAACACAACAGGGTTGCCAGGTTCTGTCTTAATTATCTGGGTTTTTAGTTTTATTTTTCCAGTTTTTTTTAAATTTAAGTGAAAGAGCCCCATTCTCAAAACATCCTTGAAAAAAAATTTAAATTCTAGCATATGCCGGTAGCCTTATACGAATCCGTAATCGATTTGGTCAGCGGCGAAGCCACAATGCTTTTCGTCCCTCTCACTTACACTCTAGCAACAGAAGAAGCTGAAAGAATCGGAGTAGACCATGTTGCCAGAATGGCCTCGATGGAGTCAAATGAAAGTTCTTTAGTGGCGGAACATTTGACAGCTCAACACAGCGCCATAAAAATGTTACACTCCAGAGTCAAACTGGTTCTGGAGTACATGAAAGCGGTGCAAAGCGGCGAGTTGCCGAGGAACCACGAGATTTTGAGGGAGGCTTATTCGATGTGTCACAGGTTGCCGGTGGTGCAAAGTGCTCGGTTCCGGCAAGATTTTTATAATGTAAAGAATTAATTTTTAGTTATTTGTTGTTATAATTGTGGTTTTTTTAGCAATGCAACGATGTGGGATTGATGACGTATCTGGGTACTTTGACTAAAAGCTGCAACGATCTCAACCAGTTCGTTAATAAGTTCAATGTTTTATACGAGAGGCAAGGACTTGGCAGGAGAATGAGGGGAATTTTCTTTTGAGTTAATTTAACATTTAAATTTGTTTATTTCATCATAAGAATGTATTTGGTTTGAAATTTATAAATAAATATTCATAGCCTACTATTATTACACAATTGCAGATTTCTGTTATAAACCTAAAAATGATTACAGAAATCTGTAATTTCAAATAATAATTCATGTATCGACATCTATCCGAATTCCAGATAAGTTACAGTCACGTTTCGAAAAAATTAAAAAAAAAAAGAAAAAAAAAATTGAAAATTGAGAAAATTGGAAAAACGAAAAGTGGAAAAAAAAAATAAATAAAAAATTGAAAAATTAGAATTTTGGAAAAACGGAAAAAGTGGAGAAAAAAAAAAAAATTGAAAATTGGAAAAACGAAAAAAGTGGAGAAAAAAAAAATAATTGAAAATTGAAAAAATTGGAAAGACGAAAAAAGTGGAGAAAAAAATTGAAAATTGGAAAAACGAAAAAAGTGGAGAAAAACAAAAAAAATTAAAAATTGGAAAGACGAAAAAAGTGGAGAAAAAAATTGAAAATTGGAAAAACGAAAAAAGTGGAGAAAAACAAAAAAAATTAAAAATTGACAAAATTGGAAAAACGAAGTGAAGAAAAAAAAAATAAACAAAAAATTGAAAATTGAGAATTTTGGAAAACGAAAAAAGTGGAGAAAAAAATTGAAAATTGGAAAAACAAAAAAAGTGGAGAAAAAAAAAAAATAATAAAATTGACAAAATTGGAAAAACGAAGAGGAGAAAAAAAAAAAAAAAAATTGAAAATTGAGAAAATTGGGAAAACATTAAAAGTGAACAAAAAAAAAAAAAAATGAAAATTGAGAAAATTGAAAAGACGAAAAAAGCGGAGAAGAAAAAATAAAAAATTGAAAATTGAGAAAATTGGAAAAACAAAAAGAGTGGGGAAAAAAAAAAAAAAAAATTAAAATTGAGAAAATTGAAAAGACGAAGTGGAGAAAAAATAAATAAATTGAAAATTGAGAAAATTGGGAAAATCAAAAAAAGTGGAGACAAAAAAAAAAACATAAAAAATTGAAAATTGTGAAAATTGGGAAAACAAAAAAAGTGAACAAAAAAAAAAAAATGAAAATTGAGAAAATTGGAAAGACGAAAAAAGTGGAGAAGAAAATTAAAAAATTGAAAATTGAGAATTGTGGAAAAACGAAAAAAGTGGAGAAAAACAAAAAAAAATTAAAAATTGACAAAATTGGAAAAACGAAGTGGAAAAAAAAAAAAAAAAAAAAATTGAAAATTGAGAAAATTGGGAAAATCAAAAAAAGTGGAGAAAAAAAGAAACAAAAAAAATTGAAAATTGAGAAAATTGGGGAAACATAAAAAGTGAACAAAAAAAAAAAAATGAAAATTGAGAAAATTGAAAAGACGAAAATTGGAAAAACGAAAAGAGTGGGGAAAAAAAAAAATTAATTAAAATTGAAAATTGAGAAAATTGGAAAAACGAAGTGGAGAAAAAAAAAAAAAAAAAATTGAAAATTGAGAAAATTGGGAAAATCAAAAAAAGTGGAGACAAAAAAAGAACATAAAAAATTGAAAATTGTGAAAATTGGAAAAACAAAAAAAGTGAACAAAAAAAAAAAAATGAAAATTGAAAAGACGAAAAAAGCGGAGAAGAAAAAAAAAAATTGAAAATTGAGAAAATTGAAAAAACGAAGTGGAGAAAAAAAAAAAAAAAAATTGAAAATTGAGAAAATTGGAAAAACGAAAAGTGGAGAAAAAGAAAATAAATAAAAAATTGAAAATTGAGAATTGTGGAAAAACGAAAAAAGTGGAGAAAAACAAAAAAAATTAAAAATTGACAAAATTGGAAAAACGAAGTGGAGAAAAAAAAAAAAAAATGGAAATTGAGAAAATTGGGAAAATCAAAAAAAGTGGAGAAAAAAAGAAACAAAAAAAATTGAAAATTGAGAAAATTGGAAAAACAAAAAGAGTAGGGAAAAAAAAAAAAAAAAATTAAAATTGAGAAAATTGAAAAGACGAAGTGGAGAAAAAATAAATAAATAAATAAATTGAAAATTGAGAAAATTGGAAAAAAAGTGGAGAAAAAAAAAAAAAAAAAAATTGAAAATTGAGAAAATTGGGAAAACAAAAAAAGTGAACAAAAAAAAAAAAATGAAAATTGAGAAAATTGGAAACACGAAAAAAGTGGAGAAGAAAATTAAAAAATTGAAAATTGAGAATTGTGGAAAAACGGAAAAAGTGGAGAAAAACAAAAAAAATTAAAAATTGACAAAATTGGAAAAACGAAGTGGAAAAAAAAAAAAAAAAAAAAATTGAAAATTGAGAAAATTGGGAAAATCAAAAAAAGTGGAGAAAAAAAGAAACAAAAAAAATTGAAAATTGAGAAAATTGGGGAAACATAAAAAGTGAACAAAAAAAAAAAAATGAAAATTGAGAAAATTGAAAAGACGAAAATTGGAAAAACGAAAAGAGTGGGGAAAAAAAAAAATTAATTAAAATTGAAAATTGAGAAAATTGGAAAAACGAAGTGGAGAAAAAAAAAAAAAAAAAATTGAAAATGGAGAAAATTGGGAAAATCAAAAAAAGTGGAGACAAAAAAAGAACATAAAAAATTGAAAATTGTGAAAATTGGAAAAACAAAAAAAGTGAACAAAAAAAAAAAAAATGAAAATTGAAAAGACGAAAAAAGCGGAGAAGAAAAAAAAAAATTGAAAATTGAGAAAATTGAAAAGCCGAAGTGGAGAAAAAAAAAAAAAAAAATTGAAAATTGAGAAAATTGGAAAAACGAAAAGTGGAGAAAAAGAAAATAAATAAAAAATTGAAAATTGAGAATTCTGGAAAAACGAAAAAAGTGGAGAAAAACAAAAAAAATAAAAATTGACAAAATTGGAAAAACGAAGTGGGGAAAAAAAAAAAAAATGGAAATTGAGAAAATTGGAAACACGAAAAAAGTGGAGAAGAAAATTAAAAAATTGAAAATTGAGAATTGTGGAAAAACGAAAAAAGTGGAGAAAAACAAAAAAAATTAAAAATTGACAAAATTGGAAAAACGAAGTGGAGAAAAAAAAAATAAATAAAAAATTGAAAATTGAGAATTTTGGAAAAACGAAAAAAGTGGAGAAAAAAAAAAAAAAAAAATTGAAAATTGAGAAAATTGGAAAGACGAAAAAAGTGGAGAAAAAAATTGAAAATTGAGAAAATTGGAAAAACGAAGGGAAGAAAAAAAAAAAAAAATTGAAAATTAAGAAAATTGGAAAAACGAAGGGGAGAAAAAAAAAAAAAAAATTGAAAATTAAGAAAATTGGAAAAACGAAAAAAGTGGAGAAAAAAAAATATATCAAAATTGACAAAATTGGAACAACGGAGGGGAGAAAAAAAAAAAAAAATTGAAAATTGAGAAAATTGGAAAGACGAAAAAAGTGGAGAAAAAAATTGAAAATTGGAAAAACGAAAAAAGTGGAGAAAAAAAAAACTGAATTGGTTCAAAAATGTATTGGAATTTGTTCCGCGAATAAAACTATTAGTTCCAAAATGAATCGGTCGTTTGACAAATAGTTAGTGTACTTGAACTACTCCGAGCAGTTAGAGTACTCCAAACAGTTGCATTACTTCGAACAGTTAGAATATTTGGAACAATTGCGTATACGGAGCACTCTGATTAGTAAACGTACTTCGAGTAATTGGAGTACTCCGAACAGTTACAGTAGTCCGATCAAGAAGGAATTTCCAATTGTTATGAAGTCCTCCAGACAGTTGGCGTACTCTTAACAGTTGGAGTACTCTAAATAGGTATTATTGAACTATCGCGAATGTACATTCGTCAGCATTAAAATGACACCCGACTGACAGGTCTTGTCATTTTTTGATATTTTAGGTTAATCAGTTTTTTTCTGTACAACGCATTTTTTGTGAAATATGAAAATCCTTGTGAGCCCGTTTTACAATAGGAAAAATCGGGTGTCCCATTTGGAATGCTCAAGTCTGTATATCGAATAAGAGCAAATGAAACAAAATTAAAACAGTCAAAGTAGTTCGGACAGATTAATAAATCAAAAAGAGTTAGTGCACTTGGAACAGTTAGAGTAGAATTACTAAAAACCTAAAATTAATTTTCAAATAAGCCTACTGTTATGTTATAAGTTGTATTCCTTTCAAGAGTTTGAAGCACTCGAGCTACTCGCTTCTGTGTTTAGTCGCCACCGATTTGCAGGGAAAAGATGTGTGGTGCAACAAACATTATTCGAAAGGAATAAGCGCGTGAAGCTCCAGAACTGTTCCGGAGCTCCTCCTAGCTGTGAAAGGAATTCAACTAATGTGAATAAATTCATTGATTAGTAGCATATTAGAGTAGTTCGAACAGTAACAATCAGAACAGTGCAAACAGAACAGTGTTATTGCAAATGAAACAGAAATTAAAACAATTGGAACACTTAGAGTAACTCGAGCAATAAAATAGTTCATTGATTGCAGATAATTTCTGAACTGGGCTTTTAGAGTTCCGAGTTTTTCGATTGTTGTTTCAAACTAGAAAAAATTATAAACTAAATTATTATTAGATGCATACGATGCACGAGAATCCTAAATAAGTGTCCCGGATCGCATTAATAATTCATTTAGAACCAGTTCCAGATCATTTTGGAATTCCGACTGTTTCAGTTGCTGTTCCGAAATCCAAAATAAACTAATCTGAACTGTATTGGAGCACATTGATTGTTCGTAATTCAATTAGAAGCGATTCCGGATAGATTTTGAAGTCTTAAACTGGTTAACGATCGAACAATCTTTAATTTGTGTCCCTGGGCTGGAATCACGACGAGTAGAATTCTATTTTTATGACGTCACCCGCGACTTATTTATCGCGTACAGTACAGGCGATAATGACGGATGCTAGGCAACCTGACGCCATGAAAGTAGAATTCTACTTGTCGTGATCCCAGCCCAGATCATTGAATTCACTTTTATTTGTTTGCGGTGTAACTAGAATCAATTCAAAATCGGTTCTATTTGTTTTAAACAATGTTCCGAACTCTTTTGCTGTTGGATAAAAATTGGAATTAGTTCATTTACAATCGAGTAAACTTTAATGTTCTTGATCGATTCTGAAATGCTTCTTATTTTGAAATAGAACCTTTAGAGTCTACTATTTCTACTCTTTAATATTCGAACGTACTCTATTTACTTCAAAGGAGTAAAAAAAATACAATTTTTGAACGATTTACTTACCCAGATCACTCCAAATATGGCAAATAGAGTAATTATGTTCATGTTTTGAGGATATGGCGTGAAATAAATACAACTTTTCAATGAACAAACCTACTCTATTTACTCTAAAACAATAGTACGAGTAAACGGTTAAATTTAGTGAACTAAAACGAGAATCTCAGATCAAATCGAGTAACTGCTAACGTAGCTGGATTTATTTCGAACATAAAAAAAACCTACACTGGGTCCAAAATTAGTGTTCCAGAGGTAACAATAAATAGAATTCTAATTAAAAAATGTCAGATAGAACAAAATCTCAAAGTCCGCAAACATAATTTAAAAAATCTAAGAAGCCGGTAATGCAGGCACCTGCAACGGAACATATAAACTTTACTCTTTTTTTTCGAAGTTCATTTAGACTCGGTTCTAGAACGGATTTTAATTTGGAATAGGTTTGTTCGAACTTAGTTCAGAATCAAATCTGAATTGAACTGCGCTTGCACATTTTGAGCAGTTCAATTCAAAACTGATTCTCAACAAACTCATTATGGTTGGGTTGTTCCGAACATATTGAATTGTTCTCAGTTCATTTAGAACCGGTTTTAAATAATTTTTGAACTGATTCTCAGAGTTCCGAGGAGTAGTTCGATTGTTGTTCCGAACTAGAAAAAAATACGTTGCACAAGAATCCTAAATTATGGTTTCAGAATTCATTAAATTTACTATAGTTTATTGGTTCCAGATCATTTTAGAGATCCAAGATTTTTGATTGTTGTTCCGAATTAGAAAAAAATACGGTGCACAAGAATCCTAAATTATTGTTTAATAACCCATTGAACTAAATGCAGATGAAATTCTTAGAGTAATTCAAATTGAGTTAGTGCAAATGGAACAGAATTAGAACAATTAAAGTATTTTGGATAGTTGAACAGATCAAAAAGAGTTAAGTAGTGCACTTGGAACAGTCAGAATAGAATAACTAAAAATCCGAAATTAGATTAATATCAAGTGATAAGTGCAAGTAAATCAAATCGTGTTCTATTTTTCTGTTTAAGCTGGGTTTGGCTTGCACACTCCGTGCACTCCGAGTGATTCCGTTCGCACTCCAGCCGTTTGAGTATTACCTTTCAACGAATCAGAGTCACTCGGAGTGCACGGATTGTGCAAGCCAAACCCAGCTCAAGTAACAAAACAACATGTTAAATTAACATTTGACACTAAATACTTACAAATTGATGTATAACGGCTGTTATAGTAAATAAATTCATTGATCAATATAATAATGGTGTAGTCCGAAACAGTAACATTCAGAGCAGTGTACACAGAACAGAGTTAGTACAGATGGAACAAAAGAAGAACACTCAAAGTAGTTCGGACAATTGAACAATGATCATTGCACTTGGAACAGTCAGAGTATAATTTTGATAAAGTTCTTTCTTCGAGGTTCGAATTGGTTCCGGATCAGTTGCGAACAAATAGCGCTTTTGACTTTTGACTAAAATTGCACCGGCTTGATCAAAAAGCAATCCGGAACGGATTCAAATCTCCTACGCGCGCTCTTTCTTGCTCAATCGCAGAGAACTGTGACGTCACCGAACCAAAACCATATGTTTAAAATTTGCTTAAATTTCATAATTGGTTGGTATAGACTATAGAGCACTGAGAAAAAAAAACCTTGAACTGGATTATAAAATTAGATTGGAATCAATTCGGAATTTGATTCCCGAACCGAGCTGAGATTCAACTACCTGATAATTTGTACAGAACAAATGTAATTATTGCACTGTTAAATAGAGTAAACACTTGCACTAGTGCTGAGTTCGGCTTTGCACTCCACTGAGCGGTACGGTATGAGCATGGATATCGTGACGTCATACACGGTCCAACGCAAAAGAGAACACTCTGAGAGCTAAATCGAACAGGATCTTATTGTTTCGAGCGCGCTCAGAGCTTATAGAGTGTGAAGCCGAACTTAGCCTAAGTGTTCGAAAACGGTTTGACGTCATTAGCCGTTTTCGGGTGCTCCTAGAACACTTCACACCTGTCAGTGACCTGTCAAACTCCATTAGTTTTGCACTCGAACGGGTCAAATCTCAGCTGGAGTACTTCGGAGTAACTCGAGAGCGCTCAAAGGAAAGCACCCGAAAGCAGCTATTGTTGTTTTCCATATTTTGAGAATATGGAGAGATAAAAATAATATGTTCTCAGATGCAAAAAAGAAAGCGCCTATATTCTGGCAGTTTATAGGTTGGTAAAATTTGGTAAACATAACCTAAAAAAAATTGTTTGAATTTATAAATCTTTTTTGAATAACAAAACCCTTGTTCCTGGTACTACTAATAATGTGTGAAATTCTATTGAATATTCTCAGACCGAAACTAGGAAATGTGGCCTACAAAAACTTTTACTTTTTCAGTACCAAAGTACTACCTGAAAAACCAAAAACCCCAGACACTACGGCCAGAGAAGCCCTACAAAAAATACTGAAAATTAATGCCTTTGAAGCACTGAAACTATTATCGGCCCACAGAAAATTGTCAATCTTACACAGCGATTTGTTGAAAAATAATTACAAAATATGCAAGCAAAACAGGTTGAGCAAAAAGTCTATTAGGAATTATCCTTGTGTTTTAAGCGAGAGAAATCTGGACAGTAAAATTGATAAATTGAAATTGTTGCCTTTGAATCTTAATGTGAGTTTACCTTTAGTGCAACTTCCTCAAAAGACTTTAAGCTTGGTAAAAATGAATATTAATGATTTCATGAATAAGTTGAAGAGTTTCAGTACAACATTTGAGGTAAATATTTTGATTTTTCTGTGTGGTTTGGATCAAGGTTAATAGGTAACAAGGATCTTTCAAACCACAAGTTCCAGGATTCAATATGGCGGCAATTATCAAAAATCAGTGATGTTTGTTTATTTAATCGTTTGACCATTGCCGCCATATTGAATCCTGGCATTTGTGGTTAGGAAACGGTTGCCTTGATAGCTTTTATGACGTCATATGTATGCCTAAAAAAATCCCAATTACGCAATTTCTCTTCTGCACTGCTGATTATTTCTTTCTCTCACCGATTCCAGAAACCTCTTTATTATTTCAGTTACCATTGGACAAAACTTGCGAAATCTTTTCAAAAAGATTATTTCTAATATCAAAATCTTCAAAAGAAATCAAGGATATTTTAAATTTGTATTACGAGCACGGTTTCACAAAGGAGGACATCTTGAAGGACTTATGGATTTTGAAATACAGTAACGATTTCATAATAAATCGTTTGAAATTTATTCAGAATCAGGAGAAGTGTGTAATGAAAACTTGGATGTTGAGATGTCCAGAAGACACCCTTATCAAGTGAGAATATTTTTTTTTGTTAACATTTATATTGAATGACGTCATAACTTATGCCCAGGTGGCATGTCAATAATCAAAGCCTAATAATTTTTATGACGTCACTGGTATGCTACGAGACATTAGATTTCCTTCTCAATCATCAAGGCTGTTTAACTATAATGACGTCATTAATAGGAGCTGTTTAACACATCATTATCCTTGCTAATTATTTTTTTTTTTTTTAAGGCATATAAGGCGCCAATCTGAAAACCGCGTCATTCTAGGAGAAAACTCCCTGGTGCAATATTTATCAAAAAAACTTCATTGCGGTGAAGCCAATGCCAAAAGCCTTATAAGAAAGCATCCTCAGTTGCAACATAAAAGCTTATCCAAAATGAATTTAATGATCGATTTGTTGTGTAAACAAGGCTTTAATGAAGACCAAATATGTAAATCACCTAAAATACTTTTGCACAGCACTGAAACAACATTAGAACGAGTCAAACAATTAGCTTCTTTAGGCAAAATACCAAACAGATTATACATTTTAACCAAAAGCCAAAAACTATACACCCAATACATTGAAAATCTGATTAAAACCCAAAAAGAATTAACTAATTAACCAAGTATATTTTTCTCTCGAACCATATAAGATTGTGAATTGTAATAAACAAAAAGTATCACTGAAGAAAATCTTGTTTGTAATTCTAGTTGATTCAAGTCGTGAGCCCACTCTACCCGGCCCCATCTACCACTCTGGTATTCTTCTTCCAGTCTGGACAATAGAACTGCTTTTTCTGGTGTTAGGAACTTTTCAGTTGCGGCCAAAGTGAGAATTACTGATTTCAATGTGTCCACACCATACATAAAACCTGGATATTTGTTAAATAAAAAAATGTTTTAATATATATATAATAGGCAATCAAATTCTGGGCCTGCAAGTGACGTCACTATTAGCAGATTAGTGATGACGTCACCCGCAGACCTTGATGGAATGCTGTGATTCAGACTGTATTAGTAGTGAGTTAATTTTAAATGTAGAAAAGCTGATTTTTGGTTTCTTCTCACACAAGAAATTAAATGTTCTTGATCCTCGAATATTCCAGAATTTGATGATAGGGGAGTTAGGGTAGTATGTCATAAATGACACATGATATAATTACCATTTACTGTTGCAAAATTATGTGACATTAAATGCTTGGTAATAATCGTTTTGTCCTCTTCACTTATTGGTGAAACATCCATTTGTATTGATTTTTTCAGCTTTACATTGAATCTTTTGTTGAACCATTCTATTACGGGGTCCCATTCGGCCATTTGGAATTTCATTAGGTCTTCATCTTCATTGGCTTGATACAAAATTGTATCAGTATCTAGATAGTTTACTATATAATTTACTATATCTAGTTTTGTTAGCTTGTTTGGATTGTCCAGGACTGTATTGCATAAAGTAGTCTGAAAATAATCAAATGTTTTTGGAGGTAATTTTTTTGAATATTCCTAGCTTTTGATTGGTTTGACCAATGACGTCATAAGAGATTGTTCCAATCAAGAGCCGGTAATAAGTCAATGAAAATTACTATGTGCATTTTGCTTTGTATGATTTTATTTTTCTGAGCGTTCCATTCTGAAGCAACTGCCAGGGCTAAAGGCTCGTTTTCCACGTAAAAAGGGGTTCCATTAGGCGTTTTCAATTTGCGTTGGTCCAGGGTGATTTCATATTTGCCCTCGCTTTTCAAAATGCTGGTATTTTTGTAGAATCTAGTCGGAGTGGCTGAAAATTGAGTTTTGAAATGGTATTAGGAGGCAAGGTAGGATATTTACCAAAATTTCGGGCTAATTTTAAAGGGGTGCATGGTAAATTAAGGGATTTATTGAAGATTTTTGTGAATGAATTTAACATTTTTGAAGAGGTAAACAAAAACACTTACATAACCTCAAATTTATAAATTTTGACAAACGGGTGTGCATTCAACCGACGTACCTTGCAAATGAGAGAAAAATATTTTAAGAAAAATTCATGTTTTTTCTATTCCAGGCTCTTGAATTTGAATTTTTTTAATTCATTTTTTATTTTTCTTTGATTTTAAATTTCTGGTTAAGGATGTTTAAAAAAGGTAGGTTGCCTGATAACTTTTATGACGTCATTTAAGGTACCTCAACTTAATGCAACCCAAATGACGTCATCAAGTTACACATTACCAGAGCCTGGGTTTCTGGTTAAAGTATTCTTCAAAATGTGCGATCCATTCATGTTTCTAACTAAAGTTGTTTGAGAGATGTAAGTTGTCTGTAAGGATATACACACTACTACTACTACAGTATAGCCTATCCTCATAAGGCCTGTATAATTCAAATTTCAAGTTTTATAACATCATCTGGGATGCCTCAATATAATGAAAATCTTCATAAGGCGCCCCAGATGATGTCATCAAGTTATCCATTACCAGAACCTTGTTTTCTGGTTAAAGTATTTTTCCAAATTTGCGATCAATTCACGTTTCTGGCAGGTTGTTAGAGAGATGAAGGTTGCCTGCAAGGATAATAAACACTACTACTACATTATAGCCTATCCTCATAAGGCCTGTGTAATTCAAATCTCAAGTTTTATAATGTCATCTGGGGTGCCCCAACATAATGGCCCTGTGTTACCAATCTGAATTTGAAAAATTACACGATTTGACCAGCATAGTCAAAATACACGTTTTTACATACTTTCAGTTTCACATTTACACGAATTTTACACACAACCTTAGTACGTATTTTGTGACATCAAGAAGTAAGTAATTTTTTTTTTTATAATTCATAATATTGAAAAATGGATGAAATCCAGACAAATCTGAGGGTTTAATACTCCTGGTTATCGCTCCTCAACCGAACATAAAGTTGTGGCCACAGAACTCTGGTTCCTGGAAAAGTGGTTACGTTTGGACATAGACCTCAATTTCCTGCAAGGATAATAGACACTATTACTACAGAATAGCCTATCTTTATAAAAACTGTGTAGATCAAATTTCAAACCTTTAATCACGCTAGAGCACCATTGATGACGTAAACACCATGTCGTTTCTCGCCTTGACGTAGTTGCACCACAGATTATGATTCTGTGGACTTTTGCTTTCTGGTCTTTAGTAGTGTGTATTATCCTTGAGTTTCCAGAAATCTACTTAACCAAATGTCAAACAGAATGGTTTTATTTGTCGTTTATGTTAATTTTTTATTTAGATATTTCCATTTCATACAGAGGATGGAATGCAAGAAGCAAAAAGGAAGAAAAAACTTGAAGTCCTACCTATGTCGCAATGGGGCCGTAGCTTTAAATTGGAAAGCCGTGAAACCATTGAGCCTAAACAGAACAAGAATAAAGAGAAAATTACATGCAAAATACACGCTTTTTGTTTATGTTTGAAAAATACACCCAAGCTAATCAAAATACATGCAAGTCGTGTATAATTACACGCTAATTGGCAACACTCTTCATATGACGTCACCAAATTACCCATTACCAGAACCTTGGTTTCTAGAAGTATTCTTCCAAATTTGCGATCAATCACGTTTCTTTCTAACGGTTGTTTGAAAAATGTCTGAGAACAGGCCTATCCTTATAAGGCCTGTGTAATTCAAATCCCAAGTTTTAAGTCGTCATCTGGGGTGCCTCATAAAACGCCCCAGATGACGTCATCAAATAATTCATTACCAGAACCATGTTTACTGGTTAAGGTATTTTTCCAAATTTGCAATCAATTCACGTTTCTAGCTCTGAAGTTGTTTGACACATGTAGGTTGCCTGCAAGGATAATACACACTACTACTACATAAGATAGCCCATCCTCATAAGGCCTGCGTTATTCAAATTTCAAATTTTATATCGTCATCCGGGGTACCTCATAAGGCGGCCCAAATGACGTCATCAAGTTACTCATTACCAGAATCTTGAAGTATTATTTCAAATTTGCAATCAATTCACGTTTCCGGCTAAAGTCTAGTAATCATAACCGCGAAATTCGCACTTTTTTTAACATTGCTTCAACAATTTGACGTTTGATTCAAGCATAAAACGTCAAATTGTCGAATCAATGTCAAAAAAGTGCGAATTTCGCTGTTATGAGTGTAAGGCTTATGGCTGTTTGAGAGATAAAGGTTACCTGCAAAGATTATACACACTACCTACTACTACTAACTACAGGATAGCCTATACTCATAAGGCCTATATAATTCAAATCTCAAGTTTTATGACGTCATCTGGGGTGCCTCAACGCAAGTCTCCATAGGACAATTTTTTGCGGCATAATTTTCTCAAAGATTATGTTCGGTTATGTCGGGTTATTCTTAAATTGCCGTTTTCGTGTGGGAAAATAATGGGGGGAATAATCAAGTAATAAGCGCTTTCATCATGCTCCGGTTCAAGTCTTTCATGCTATTTTGGAAATATAACCCAGAGTCAAGAATCGTAAACTAACAGGATTGCTCAATGCTCATCTTGATAAGGCGTTCGTTCGCCAATTCTTGAGTCGGCAGAGACTGCGAGTGACGTCACAACTATAAGCAACTAATAAGGGGAACGTCGTGCGCAGGCCTTAATAGATTGCTTGCGATTTAGATTGTACTTGAAGACTAATTTTTTCGTCGATTTCAAATGTAGAAAAGGTGATTTAAACAAGGTTTTACCATTCAGGTAGTCGTTTTTCAAATTTGGCCATATTATACCAAGGTTGTTTGAGAGAGGTAGGTTGCCTGATAACTTTATGACGTCATCTGCGGGACCTCAACATAATGCAAATTTCCATAAGGCACCCCATCAGACGTGTTATCAAGTTACCCATTACCAGGCAACCTATGAACTTTAGGAACCTTGATATTATACGTCATGAGTTGAGGTCAGGCACATAGCAGACACTTTCAGCTCAATAAGCATTCCTATTAGGTAAATCGCTCAGCATCAAATTCTGGGCCTATCAGTGGCGTCATTATCAGCCGCTTTTAATGATGACGTCACCCGTAGACCCTGATGGAATGTTTGCGATTCTGGCTGTCAGTGAGTTAGTTTTTTCGTCGATTTTAAATGTAGAAAAGGTGACTTTCGGTCTGTTCTCACGCAATAAATTGTCTACCTACTACTACTACTACATGCGTCATCAAGTTACCCATTATAAGAAGACCTATTTATTTTAGGTATTTGGGGTTGTCTGATAAATTTTATGACGTCATCTGGGTTGTCTCAACGCCTCAACATAATGCAAATTTCCATAAGGCACCGCAGATGACGTCATCAAGTTATCTATTACCAGAACCTTAGTTTCGATTTAACTTATTTTTACAAATTTCCGATCAATTTACGTTTCTAGTTAAAGTTGTTTGAGAGAGGTAGGTTGCCTGATAACTTTTATGTCGTCATCTTAGGTGCCTTTATATAATGCAAATCTTTATAAGACGTTCCAGATGACGTCATCAAATTACTCATTACCAGAACCTTAGTTTCTGGCAAAATTATTTTACCAAATTTGCGCAGGTTCCACGTATCTGGCTCAAGTTTTTTTAATTTTTGTGTTTTATTTTAGTTTTTTTGTTAATTTTAATTCAAAAGCCGGGAAAAGATAAAAATTGAGACAAATTGTTGCGCATTCAGCCGACGTACCTAGTATTTTATTGCATATTTCCATAATTTTCATGCGATTGGCCAAAAAAAAAGGGAAATTCAAGAGCCGGGAATAAATCAAAATTGAGACAAATTGTTGCGCATTCATCCGACGTACCTAGTATTTTACTTCATATTTTCATCGTATGTAGGCGATTGGCCACGAAAAAGAGGAGAGGGAGTAGAGAGACAAGAGATAAAGGGAAATTCAAGAGCCGGAAATAGATATAATTTGGGACAAATTATTGTGCATTCAGCCGACGTACCTAATATTTTGGCCGAGTTCGTTTTTGTCATCGCTTTGCTCGAAATTTTGACAGGCACGTGACTGGATAAGACAGTTTCAGTTTATAAATCACGTGCCTGTCAAAATTTCGGAGCAAAGCGATGACAAAAACGAACTCGGCCAAAATATTAGTTACGTTGGCTGAATGCACAATAATTTGTCCCAAATTATATCTATTCCCGGCTCTTGAATTTCCCTTTATCTCTTGTCTTTCTACTCCCTCTCTTCTTTTTCGTGGCCAATCGCCTACATATGATGTAAATATGAAGTAAAATACTAGGTACGTCGGATGAATGCGCAACAATTTGTCACAATTTTTATTTATTCCCGGCTCTTGAATTTCCCTTTTCTTTCTGGCCCTCTCCTCTTTTTTCTGGCCAATCGTATAAAAATTATGTAAATATGAAGTTAAATATTAAATACGTCGGCTGAATGCGCAACAATTAGTCTCATGAAGATTTCCATTTGTCAGTCAGTGCGCACTGAGTGTATCCGCATCTTTTTTTAAAAGCATATAGTAAGGATAAGGATACATTTTTTTTGCACTGGCTCGACAAATGGAAATCGCTTTCAATTTTTAACTATTCCCGACTTTCGAATTTCCCTTTTCTTCTTTGCCCTTTCCTCTTTTCTTTCTGGCCAATCACATAAAAATAAAAAAATATGAAGTAAAATACTAGGTACGTCGGCTGAATGCTCAATAATTTGTCTCCATTTATGACCGTTTCCACCCTTGGTTTCCACCAACTATTTTAGGAAAGCCCTAACGATAAGTATTCCCCAAGCTGTCATTTCTTCATGTAAAAATGTCATTTTATCGTTAAGGCTCCCCTAAAATAGTTGGTGGAAACGGCCATTAATCTCTTCTCCGCTCTTGAATTTCCCTTTTTTTTTGGCCAATCGCATGAAAATTATGGAAACATGCAGTAAAATACTAGGTACGTCGGCTGAATGCGCAACAATTTGTCTCAATTTTTATCTTTTCCCGGTTTTTGAATTAAAATTAACAAAAAACTAAAATAAAACACAAAAATTAAAAAAACTAGAGCCAGATACGTGGAACCTGCGCAAATTTGGTAAAATAATTTTGCCAGAAACTAAGGTTCTGGTAATGAGTAATTTGATGACGTCATCTGGAACGTCTTATAAAGATTTGCATTATATAAAGGCACCTAAGATGACGACATAAAAGTTATCAGGCAACCTACCTCTCTCAAACAACTTTAACTAGAAATGGAAATTTGTAAAAATAATTTAAATCGAAACCAAGGTTTTGGTAATAGATAACTTGATGACGTCATCTGCGGTGCCTTATGGAAATTTGCATTATGTTGAGGCGTTGAGACAACCCAGATGACGTCATAAAATTTATCAGACAACCCCAAATACCTAAAATAAATAGGTCGTCTTATAATGGGTAACTTGATGACGCATGTAGTAGTAGTAGTAGATAGACAATTTATCGCGTGAGAACAGACCGAAAATCACCTTTTCTACATTTAAAATCGACGAAAAAACTAACTCACTGACAGCCAGAATCGCAAACATTCCATCAGGGTCTACGGGTGACGTCATCACTAAAAGCGGCTGATAATGACGCCACTGATAGGCCCAGAATTTGATGGTGAGCGATTTACCTAATAGGACTGCTTATTGAGCTGAAAGTGTCTGCCATGTCAGCCGCTGACCTCAACTCATGACGTATAATATCAAGGTTCCTAAAGTTCATAGGTTGCCTGGTAATGGGTAACTTGATAACACGTTTGATGGGGTGCCTTATGGAAATTTGCATTATGTTGAGGTCCCGCAGATGACGTCATAAAGTTATCAGGCAACCTACCTCTATCAAACAACCTTGGTATAATATGGCCAAATTTGAAAAACGACTACCTGAATGTTGAAACCTTGTTTAAATCACCTTTTCTACATTTGAAATCGACGAAAAAAATTAGTCTTCAAGTACAATCTAAATCAGTGTTACCAGATTGGGGGATTTTCCCCCAAATTTGGGGGATTTTCAATTAGGTAGATGGGGGAATAGTTTTTTCTGGGGGTAAGAATTGTAAGAATTTTCGCTATTGGGGGAAATCGGGTATATTTCAATGAATAAAACTAAAGTAAAAAATGTATTAAAACAACTGCGCCATCTATTTTTTCAATCAAGTACCAATAAAAAAGATAAAGTTTGCTTCTTCTCCAGTGTTGCCAATGGGCGGATTTTAATCCGATTTGCGGATTTTTTTTGGATTTTGTACTTCAGAGGATTTTTTGCGGATTTTTTTAGATAAAACGAATAAGGGCATGAAATCCCTGCAAAGCACAAAAAGCCAACATGGCTGTTTTGAGATTATTTTTTAAACTATTCAAACTTCTTGGTACAACTGTACTTATCTGTTTTGTCACCAGTCACAACGTTTTATTTCATTTGTCATTTGTCAATTGTCATTTTATTTTTGGGATTAGAAAAATATAAACAAATAAAAAAGTGGTAAGGGTATGAGTTTTATTTTAAAATATTCAACGTATTTGTCTTTTTTTTTTTGCAATTATGAGTCCAGAATAAATCTATATTTATTTGGGGGATTTTAGTTGACAAATATTGATTTTTGAAATCCTTTGGGGGAAATTAATTATAACCATCTGGCAACCCTGATTTCGGAGCAAATCGACGAAAAAGATGACAAAAACAAATCCAGCCATATTCCAACATCCACCATTTGCGTGCATTCAACCGACGAAATATTATTGATTTTACGGATTTCAACTAATTAGATAAAATTTGAATATTGAATAAAAAATAATAATTGTTATTACTTTGAAAGTTTTTTTTTCAACGGTTTTAAAGTTGAATAAATTAGTTTTATTTTTAACATTTTTTGTCTTAGTGGCAACACTGGCAAATGTCAAACTTGTCATTAATCAACAATTCATTTTTCAAAACAATGTGTCAGAGCCCTAATAAACTTTTCTATACAATACAATGACCGTAATTCTCTTATTCATTTCTACTTTTCTCAGTTTTTTGGCAAATCAATCATATGTACTAAGTAACCTGGTAATACTTGTTTATATTTCTAGAAAAATACTCATTGATTATTGGCTTATTTTAGCTTTTGAAGTGGTTCAACCAACCATCCAGCGACCAAAAACAGCTCCTCAACCAAAAACAACAACTAGAAGGTGACCAGAAACAATACAACATGATGGACGATTTTGCCAAATATTCAAAAATCCAGCGCAAAATTAACGCAATCGATCAGCAACTTAAAGAAACTAAAGAGCAAAGAAACACAATTTCCTTACAAATGTTGGCCAAATATGGACCTCAAGCCCTTTGCACACTATTGCTGTTATTGTTAACAATATATTACAGACGTACTCATTTATTTAAACTACCAGATTATATAGATTTAGCTCCATTTAACTATATTATTTCATTTCCAAATGAGAAAAATTATGTATCTTTTCATTTTTGGATTATGAGTTGTAATGTTGTAGCAAGAACAATAAAATTGCATTAATAAATAATAAATTTATTTATTTTTAAATGAAAAAAATAACATTCTATTTTTGTTAAAAAATAACTTATAATTTAATGCTTATGATGTTGCAATGTTTCAGCATGTTGCTTCAAAAGCATCTTTAAAGCAATAACATTCTCAACATCATTTGCTTGTGGCTTGTAGGTTGAAAAAGGTACAGCCAACATGCAACTTCTATTTTCGTGACAATATAAAGAGTTCATGTGCACTTTGGGCCTTTCTTGTGGAAACTTGCCACCCAACTGAACCGTAACCAAACAAGCATAATTTTCAAAAGCCTTATCTTCATAAATAAAGGCAACTTTATAAAATTTTGTAGCATCATATTCAGCAACATTATTTGAAAAAGTATCGACAATGTTTAAAACAAACATACTCCTGGCATTGTAACGTCTGCAAATTTGTTTTATTTGCAATTCAATAAGGTTTTGTATGGCATTTGCATAAGTACAAAGAGTGTCATCTTTTGTAAATTTCGGTAAATCGAGTCTTCCTAAAACTTGCTCAACCCTTGGCGATAGTGTCAAAGCTATTTTGGTTAATGAATTGTCAAGTTTCTTCATTTGAATGTGCAAATGCACAAAATCATCGCCAGGATTTATAAAATTGTCAGGGTCTTCTTGACAATATTCAGGCAACTTGGACAAATCAACTGGCAAATTAACCAAAAAATTAACCAAATTATATTCTTCTTTATTATTTTCGTTTGCAATTGTTTCAACGTGCACTTCAAGTTGGTTTGAAGACAAACCAAACTTTTTAGTCAACTCTTCAAAAGCGTTTTTAATATTTGCAAACTTGTTGTTTTTAATCAACTTATCCAAGTGGGTTTTTTTGTAGAGGCACAAAAACTCATTTACAATATTCGTAAGCGAATAATGATTAGTTAAGTCCCATTTGTCCCAGCTAGGAATCACTTTAGCAATGTATTCGATGTCGGGATTGCGCAAAAACGAGTCGTCGTTGAAATCAAAGTCTGGCACTTCGCCCAAGTCTTCGGGATCGAAAATCAGGTCCCAGTTGAGAATGCGGCCAGCGTAAGGGATTTCTAGTAGCAAGTGGTAGGTTTTGTAGTTGTATCTCGTTTCTATGTACTTGTTGATTAGGAATCGGACGTCGGTGGGTTGGAATTTGGAAAATCCTTTAGGAAGTTGATTAGATTTGAAAAAATAAAGAATGTTTACTTACCAGTTCTTCCGTATTTGTACAGGATGGATAAATTTTGGTTTAGATGCTCGGAATATTCGGCGTTGGTTAATGTAGACATTGTAGAATTGTTTGTTATTCAAAGAGCAGCGAAAAAATTTATTTTTAGTTTTCGAAAATAAATAAAGTGAGGTTATTGTGATGACTCATGCATTTTCTTCTTTTTTTTGTTTGGTTCTTAATGTAATATCCTTGATGTAATGTAGCTCGAAGACCACAGTGTCCTTAAGTTCTGCGGCCGAATTATGAACATCCGATACGGAAAGATTCCGAGTCGAAGGTAAACTCGAAGCGTATACGCATCGTATTGAACGGAAAAGCGATTAAGAACACACGAATCGGCTTTAATCAGCTGTCCGCGATCAAAATGGTAGAATGCGAAACTTCTCGCTGGAGGTGACGTCAGCTGCAGTCCTTTATTGTTGCGTTTACTATGTAAATGCATCATTCATCATTAAATGCATGGAATTGTTGGGAAACTTGCAGTATTTTTATGGATTATGATTATGAATATCTAAAGATTGCAACTATGTTTTGCTTTATATTTTGATATTCAGAAATGCAAAAATTAAATTATTATAACAACCTTGTGTTTTTTGACAAACAGAGAATCATATTAATTATGGAACATTTGGCCAAGAGTAATTTTTGTAGTAAATAAAAGCCGTGTGCTTTATATGGCTAAACTTTCTAATTATACCTTTCTACACGTAGATTTTTCTTTCCATATTGTTGGTAAATTTGGCCTATAAATATAATCCATACTAATTATCGTTCTTAGCTTTCAAAAATTTAAATGAAATGGTGATTTTTTTTTCCGTTTTGAATATTTATCTTGTCAAGTTTTGAGTTTTGTACCATTCCTTGTCTTTTTCAAGAAGAATCTCCATGGTAGAATTGGAAATAAAAGTTTCGCTATTGATGCTAGTCATGTCATAATTATAACACTAGAGCATAATAATATTTGTTTTCCGAGGCACAGGTTAACATTATTGGGAAAAATTCCATGTGACATGAGTTACAAATCAGTACGCGATGTACGATTTTTTAAAAACAAATTTATTTCACTTAAAACTATTACAATATTTTTACGTTTAAAATTTATTAAAAGAAAGTGAATGCAAAGCTCTGACTAACGACGCTCGGCAAGTAGAAGCTACAAAAAGAGAATACAGAATGCAAGCTAATGAAAAATAATATGCTGATTAAATAAAATATACAATGTAGAGCCGTATGTAACTCCTCCCTCATTAGATTCAACTAAACATGTTGAAGGGGTAGTTGAATAATTGGTTCTTGGATTGGGTCTTCTGGATTGGCTTCTTGAGCTCTTCGTGGTCTTCGTCTAAGTTGAGTCAGTTTCTTGTAGGTGCAGTAGCTGACGAAAATTACCATTAGTAGGTAAATGAAGATAGTCCAAATATTTGGGGCTTCGACGATTTCGGGAAACGGTGTAAAATTAAGTTGATTGTCCTTAATTTGGTTTTCGATTTTTTGGAGGTCATCTAATTTCAGGTCATCTAGATGAACACTCAAGTTAAGTGTTGGCAGTAGTAGTTTTTCTTCATTATTCAAATCAGGAAATAATATAGGCTGGGTTTTTGTTTGACCTACGTGTGCGTTGTTCATAATCACTTCTTGATTGCTGTGATTAGTTAGTTTGCAATTTTTTGGGATTTCGACAAAATATGTACCAAATAATTTTTGATATTCTTCTTGGTCGCTGCATTCCATTTTGACTGTTTCTTCTTTGGGAATAATTATGATCCATTTATTTGAGAGGTCTAATTGATTGACTATTGGGATCGAAATCTTAACTTCGATTTGTTGACATGATTGGACTTGGTTACTTGATTCCAATAATTGGATTGCACATGGATTTTTGGTTGTGATTTCTGTGAGATCCATTTTGTTACAGATATAGTACTGGTTCTGGATTTCCTGACACTCCGTAGGTCGATATGAGAAGTGCAATTTGTTTTTTACCAAGAATTTACTTTTTGGAATGATTGTTTTGAATTTATTTTGTTTGTAAATTGGTATTGAGTATAAATGATAATAGTCGAAATTATTTTGATAAGTGATAGGAAATCGAATTAGAAAGGTAATTTTATTGTTTAAAATAAAACTTTCTATTTTTACTAATTTCTCGTATAACAATGTATTAGCTAGAGTAACCTCTAAGGGCATACTTTTCGCATTCACAATTTTTTGGATTCTTTGCAACTCAAAATATAGATTTTCAGTTTTTATGATACTCGGATGTAGTATTTTCAGTTTCGAAAAGGTAACTGCGTTTTCTACATTTTGCAGTATTGAGTCAATGATTTCGTATAAATTAATTATTTGATTGAGAGTATCTTTAATAATATTAGCATTTTCTCGGAAAGTGCCTTTTTGTACAATTAAACTAATCTGGTTTAATTTGGATTCGAGTAAGTTCTCGTTTTTCCCAATTTGTTGAATAGTTTTATTAAATTGTTCAATCAGCTTAATCGAAATGGCATTTTCCTTTAAGGCTTTTGATTTTATTTCAATTTGATTACTCTGTAAATTTTCAATTAGTTGTTCATAACGTTCTCCATCTGATCTGATGCGTCTAGGTTACCAGTAATTGTTTTGAAAATTGATCCGACTGCATTAATAAGCCCGCGTCTTGTGCGTTGTGGGTGTGGAATTAATTCTTTTAATTTTGTTTCAACACGGTCTTGAATTAAGAATAGTATTTTTATATAATTACTAGTTTCGATCTTATATTCTGCGTGCGTATTTACGTTATCGGTCAAGTTTTTTGATTTTTCTTGAAGTTTGTTGACTTCATTTAGGATTGGATTGAGGTCATAAAAATGAATTAGCGTAAATGAATATTCTTCTAGTTTGGCTTGTCCTAATTTAATTGGCAATAGTCCAGGGTTATCAGCGATTTTTTCTAATTGAATTTTGTCTTCAAGGGCAATTGATACTTGTAGTATCCTGAAAAGAGAATATAGCAATTAGTCAAAGCTATATTTATTTTTTAATGGACGTTTTATGTTTGACAAGTGAATCTTTTCTTGGGATTCGAGTTTTGCTGTCTTTTTAGCTGTGTCGACATTTACTATTTTGGTTGGCTTATTGAATTTGTCAGCGTTTTTCTGTCGTATATGTGTTTTTTCGTAAATACTGTTTGGTTTGGTTCAAATATTTCTGGGTTGTCTTTATTCACATTAATTTTTGTAGTTAAGTGTTCTTTCTTAGCCATTAATTTTTCGTTCAATTGCGCATAAAGAACTTTTGCTTTTTCTTTATGTTCATTTATATAATCTGATAAAATTAATTGATCTAATTTTAAATTAAAAGTATCATCTGATGTAATATGTCCTTGCACAACATCAATGGGTTTAAGGTTGGTTATAGAGTGAATTGTATGATTATAAGCCAGAACGGCATATACAATTTTATTTTGTATGGTTGCGTTAGCGAAATTTTGATTGTTAAGCAATCTGATGTGCTCTGAAAGGGTTGAATGGAAACGCTCGGCGATACCATTCGATTCCGGGTGATAAGGCGAACAAAAGTGAACTTTTATTTTATGTAGGGACAGTAATTCTGTCACTATGGTATTTTTAAACTCTGTACCGTTGTCTACAATTATTTGTTTTGGAATTCCATGATGAGAAAAATGACTTAGAAGACTGTCTGCAATTTCAGTAGCAGCTAGTGATTTAAGTGGATATGCTTGCGCATATTTTGAAAAACTGTCAACGATGATGAGGAATTTACTTTTTTCTAGAGTGTAGGTATCAAGGTGAATAATTTCAAAGGGCCTTGATGCCGTGGGTGTAACGTTCATTGGAATCTTTACTGGGTTACGTTCATATTTACTACGAATACAAATTTCGCATTCGTTAATGTAAGATTGGACGGAACTTTTAAGATCGGGCCAGTAATATTTTGTTTTTAATCTTTGAACTATTTCTTCTATGCCCCGGTGGTTTAACTTGCTTTCGTGGTAATTTTGTATGGTTTATTTGGCACTATTAATTCTTTGATAAATTTCATGATGTCTTCCTCGAAATTTTCCTGCGATAGTTGTACTATTATTCTACGTTTCTTGTTAAATAGTACAATTATTTTCGCTCTTGCTGGTGAGTGGTGTACCTGCTGCAATATTATTTGATTAGAACCATAATTGACAGCTGTTTCAATAATAGGTACTCCTACTACAGGGTTTTGGTCGGCGTTTGTATGGATAGTTGCATCATCGGCATCTTGCGCGATTTCTGGTGGGTCATTGTCCGGTTGTGCTACAACTGATATTTGATCCATATTTTCGTGACTTGTGCTAGAAATTTCGTCATTATTTTGGTGGTTGTTGTCCTCTAAATTTTTAGTTACGTCTTCTACATATTTTTGCAGGTCAAAAATATTATTTTCTGTTGTTTCTTTAGTATGAATTTCTATCCTCGATAGGGCGTCCGCATTTGTGTTTAATTTTCCTTTCTTGTAAATAATTTGATAGTTAAATTCTTCTAGTCTTATTCTCCAGCGAAGTAATTTTGAAGTTGGTTCTTTAACTGAAAAAAGCCATTGAAGCGGTTTGTGGTCTATAATGATGTTAAATTTTCTGCCATAGAGATAAGGGCGGAAATATTTGGTTGCCCAAACAAGACACAAACATTCCTTTTCTATCGTAGAATAGTTGCACTCAGAGTCGTTGAGCGTGCGTGAGGCATAGGCGATCGGTAAATCTTGTCCAATTGGCCCTTGGGAAAGTACTGCTCCTAAGGCCAAGTTACTCGCGTCTGTTGTCAAATTAAAAGGTTTTGAAAAGTCAGGATACTGGAGTATGGGTTCATTTGTTAGTAGATTTTTGCACATTTTGAAACAGTTAATAAATTCTTCGTCATGATTGATTTTAGCGCCTTTCTTCAAACATTTGGTGAGAGGTTTCGTAACTTTTGCAAAATTGTTAATAAATCTCCGGTAGTAGCCTAACAGTCCTAGGAATCCTTTAATTTGCTTTGTAGTCTTCGATATCGGATACTGCTTAATTGCTTTAATTTTATCGGGGTTTGGTTTGACTCCCTCTGGCATCACAATATGACCCAGGTATGCGACTTCGCGACGCAAAAATTCGCTTTTATCAAGCTGGATCTTGAAATTAGAGTCACGTAGCCGTTGG